GGGTCACCTAACCAAAATAATCTCCAATGTTATTATTTTTTGGCATATTCTTTGATAGGAGATAAGATCGTCTTCAGATCATATGCAAACATTCACATAGAAAACATGATGCTAATTCGAACTGATTTTGATTTTATTGAAAAGTCCCCAAAACAGACAACCTAGAATTCATTAAATGAATGAGATACGCACTTAATTTTCAAAAGGCGCGGATCAAAAACGAACTTACGACGGTGGAATATTAAAAATCACTACATAAACATGATTAAGTACAAACATACAATTTTGGTGGAATGTATTAGGCACATTGTGGATGTAGAATGATATGTTAAAAGAAAAACAAAGAGTATATTTCCCGGGATTTTTCCCAAGGCCCTGACCCGTGTGAACAGATATATGAACCAAGGAACACTTGTTTAATTTAGTATTTGGACATTTGGTAACTATTCCCTCAAGAACTGAGAACGATTCGAAACCAACTTTGCCACACGAGGCTTCTACCCTGCAAACTTTTAGGGACAGATATCTCATCTTGCGCCTGCGCACATCTTGTTAGTACCAATGGAATTCTCTAAAACAGAGATTCGGGTATAGTTTACAGGTAGTGATAGAGTAAGAGATAACTGCATCTGTTCGGTGCAACTCTGTATCCAGTGATTCACTAGTCTTCATGTGTACCTGGAAAATGATGTTGAATTGATCAGAATGTTTCGGAAAGTAATGCCACATGATCTTTGAAAAAATGCCTTCTAGAAGTATGAGCAGGAAGAATAAATGTAAATAAACATATTGAAATCTAGTCCGGGTGGGGCTCCGGGAGGGACAAGAGAGTACACTCTCCTAGTGTGAGGTGATGACGCCGCAGGGTGAGGTGAGCTACGGGAAGCTGGCTGTGATACGGGGTCGGCTTTATGAGGCCAATTGGGTGGGGTGGTGAGGCCACGGGACGGACTGGTGAGGCCATGGGATTGGGTTGGGCTGGTGAGGCCATGGGATGTGCTGGCGATGTCACAGTCTGAGATACTGAGGCCTTAGGTGGGTTTGAGGCTACGATGTGAGTTGGTGAGGCCAACGCAGTGAGCTGGTTAGGCCATGGGGTGCGCTGGTGAGGTCATGGGGTGCGCTGGTGGCCACCGGAAACTGGTGGTGATTCATGGTGAACTAGTGAGGCAATGTTGTGAGCTGATGGGGAAACGATGGGGTCACGGAGTGAAATGATGGAGCCATGGAGTGAAATGATGGAGCCATGGGGTGAAATGGTGGGCCAGGGGGTGAATTGGTGAGGCCACTAGGTGAGCTGATGAACTTTTGGGGTGAGGTTCATTATTGTCAACCCATCAAATAATCTAACTATGGAGCAGTAAATCCTCAATATAATTGCATATTATTTGTAGAATGTCCATCGCTGAACCACTACTCGTAAAACACTGTAAAAATCACCAAAAATATATAAGCCTCATCTTAAACGATCAAAGTCACCAAATCAACCAAAGAAGCCATAATCCGTCCATACATACGCCCCTCCCCCTCATTCCAGCAAGATACAGGCCATCCAGAGAGGTATTTGATTATACGTACAGAAACACACCAGAATTGAAGAAACAGGAAAGCTTTAGATCTTTATATACCGTAGATCTTAAGGTAGATAAGCTGAGATAAACAGGAGAATCCAAGATGTTTCTGAAGTGAATTTGACACCGGCGATCGCTGGATGCATCGGCCAGTTACCACCCGCATGCGAAATAACATGTTGGTATTGTTTAAACAATAGACTGGGAAAAGAGTGTACGGACAACGATTACGCAATCACGAGACTTATTTCATGCTAATAGTAAGAGAGTGGAATAAGCAAGCCAAGCGAAGAATGACATAGTTCATACTCTGCCACTTACCACAAACTGCACTTGAACGCCCCAAGTTCTGGTTAACCAAAGAAATTGAATATTTTAACCAGGAAAAGGTAGAAAAATAATTTGGGCCACTTACTAAAATCATTCAATTATGATCTTATCAATTTGTTTACTCCTCTCTTCAATATTGACAAATTTTAAAGAATTTTGCCGATAAAGTTCAATCTAAATATGGCAAACGTAAACATATAAATTCGGGTTAGCCCTATTTCATCTGATGATAATTGTTACGAGTTTACATATTTTTATGTTTCTTAGCCAAAAAGCAGCGAGAATATCCTAGGCAAAGATTTCCAGGCTCACCATGTGCTAACGGCTCATACTGCGTACCTGTATTCCCCTACTGAGCGAACATTGCTTTTCAGTTGTAATCAAACTTAACTCAAATTTCATTTATATTTAAATCAATTTGGTCATTTTGAAGCAAACATAAAGGCCTATTTGACACAGAAATGAACTGAATCAAATAATCTGCTGACGAGAATTCAATCCATATACAGCATCATGAAGATAGAAGTAGCATACGATAAATAAATAAATGCAAATATAGCTTTAAAATCTGCCAATAAATCTGTTTTAATATCGTTTGATGAGTGACATGTACATACAGTACATTGGTATACAGTATATATCTATAGACGTTATTATGAAGTCTGCATAAATTCATTTCAAATACAAGTTTAAGCTCTATAAGGAAAGCCATTGTTTCAACCCAATATTCATAATATAAGTTTTTGTTTCAATCCTATAAGATAAGCATGAATGCGTTGTTTCAACCCTATAAGATAAGCATGTATGCGTTGTTTCAACCCTATAAGATAAGCCTATAAGCGTTGTTTCAACCCTATACGATAAGACTTATATGCGTTGTTTCGACCCTGTAAGATAAGCCTGTATGCGTTGTTTCAACCCTATAAGACAAGACTATATGCGTTGTTTCAACCCTATAAGATAAGCCTGTATGCGTTGTTTCAACCCTATAAGATAAGACTATGTGCGCTGTTTCGACCCTATAAGATAAGCCTGTATGCGTTGTTTCAACCCTATAAGATAAGCCTGTATGCGTTGTTTCAACCCTATAAGATAAGCCTGTATGCGTTGTTTCAACCCTATAAGATAAGCCTGTATGCGTTGTTTCAACCCTATAAGATAAGACTATATGCGTTGTTTCGACCCTATAAGATAAGCCTGTTTGCGTTGTTTCAACCCTATAAGATAAGCCTGTATGCGTTGTTTCAACCCTATAAGATAAGCATGAATGCGTTGTTTCAACCCTATAAAATAAGCCTGTATGCGTTGTTTCAACCCTATAAGATAAGCATGTATGTATTGTTTCAACCCTATAAGATAAGCATGTATGCGTTGTTTCAACCCTATAAGATAAGACTATATGCGTTGTTTCGACCCTATAAGATAAGCCTGTATGCGTTGTTTCAACCCTATTAGATAAGCCTGTATGTATTGTTTCCATAGACATTTGCACTAATTGAAATTGGAATCACCTGTGTATAAAATCAAAAATCAATACAAATTTGCATTGCTCTCTTGTTAATAAGTTCAACTTTTATCCAACATTCGGAAATACCATGATTTAGAAATTAGACACCTTCAATAGTGGGCACTCTCAGAAGATACGAATTTATTTTAGGAAGCGCTGTTTACTGCGTGGATTCATGAAAACCAGGACAACGAATTAAATTAAAAATCACCAGGCAAAAATGTCATAATTTTTAATAAAATCTCCATGAGCAGATTGAATTGATACTGGAGTAGCTTGTGAATACGATGGTATTGACTCCCCTGCCAATGTCTTTACCGATACATTGCAACCCTTATCACACAGCCCACCACCAACCAGTCTCCTTTCACAATCACAAAGACAAAACAGCAACATTATCCCAAAACTAGATCAAATACACGGTTTGGGTATAACAAGAGAAACAGAACTACAGATTGGTCCGTATCTGCAGATATATTTGTGATTATCATTGGATATTGTCATGTGTTTATTTGTAAGATACGAGAAGAGACTTGACAGCTCGTGGTACAATCCAACAAAGCCCCTCCAATCACCTGTCAAGCCTCGCTATGCGAAGCATTGTACGGGATATGCATATATTATTTTACACATGCATAAAAATCTATTGAAAATACAGCCATCATAAAAATGAATATACTCTTGATATTGATATTATAAAGCCATATCCCACAGAAAACATATACTTAATATTGTATGAAATATTTTGATGTTGTTTTTCTGATGTTTTGATTTGGTCAGCCTGGAATTGTTCATGACGAGTCAGTCCATTTTTGTTCATGAAGACTTATATACGTTGGGGATTACTCCAAATTGGGTTGGAATTAATAGGAAAATAATTGAAACGTTTCCAAGCTGTAGAAATGTTCATCTTGACTTTGACGGTGTAATTGATGTGAATTCAGATTTCAGACATAACATAGATAACTTAATATATTAAGGAGATTCACAAATGTAACATAAGTACACAGAAATATGGTTTTTAGTCATAGACAATTGTATTTATATTTCATTAAGTATTTCAGTCAGACCCACAGCAAATATGCCGAGGTGTATTTGTTTAAGTTAACAACTTTTAATAATTACATTCGTTTTTACACATAATAGTACATACAGTTAGCATGCTATTAACATACCATAGGAATAAATACTTGAAATATGAAAATACCAATTTGAAACAATACGGCTATTTCGCATCATATACTGTCTTAAAAACTGAGAAGACAATTCGAAGCAGAATACCCTCATTAAAGTGGGAATATTTTGCATGAGAAAACCGAACAGGAGCCGTTGTATGCAAAGAGCAAACAGTCTTACTACTGTAGTTTTGTCAAAATGAACAAACATAAATAAAATAGTTGTGAATAAACACGATTTCTTCTTATTGATAAAAAATAATATTCGTTTTTATCTATGCTCAATTCACATAAAGATAATAATACCATAGAGAGGTTTATTGTATTCAACTTTATGGAATATTATATTGACATAGGTATTTAAAATAAAAACTAAAATGCGAGTTTGGCAAACATACATACGATTCCCTTAGAGGCCAATGAAATACATAAGCTGTAATATCAGAAGGCCACTTCAATATTGAGATTAGTATTTTATATCTCGTTCATATCGAACTTCGGACTTGTTATAAGCTGATATATCACAGCTAAGATTGCTTGCTAGAGTACAACCTTAGCTACATTGACATTTTTATGTCATGGAGAAACGATTGTAAATACTGTGAAATATAAGCCATGTTCAGTGTGTTGCATGTGTGTGCTCATTCAATCTTCTGAATTCATCTTTTTTTCAACGATCATATTTAGTGTCACTGCTCTAGCTAATAGGAGCCTCCTTCTACACATATTCGAGACAATGGTCTCAGCCAATAATTTAGAAAATAAATTATGAGAATGAAGTTAAAGTTCATATGATATGACCATAATGAAAACCAGCCCTCCCACACAAATATTCAGGTGTTTATTATTTAGTATCTAATATCAGTGATGACCCGATGGTTCCTGAAGACAATGACTACTCCAAGACATAATATTTACAACAACAGACATGTCAGGCTGATCTACATTACAGAAATAGAGTCAATATTTTGTCAACCCCAGAAATAGTAGTATCCACTTCCACTTAACTAGTGTATTTTAAACCGTAAACTGACTCCCACTACCAATTTCTCTATGAGTAACAACATTTAAGTTTGAAGCGATTTAATTTTGAAAAATCTGGAAGTTAGAAAGCATGTTGTAGGAGAGGTTGTAAACTGAATACTTGCTAAAATGACTGCCTGAACTATTACCATATTTTCATATGATATTCAAACTGTTCAAATCAAAAATCATGGCTATTTTGCTCTAAATTTGAGAAGGCTAATTTCTTTAAAAAGTAATTACATTTGTCAACACTAAGGCCGGGAGTAAAAGCAATCATATTAAGACTTAGTTCGATTGCACCAGAATCTTTAATCCCACTTTGAACGAGTGGTCACTTTCATAATGCATTAGATCAACACTTATACATAAACCTTTCTCTGATACATAATAGGAATAAGCTGGTTTCTAGGACATACGATGTTTATGACTAAGAAATTCTGGGAGACCCTGATTTACATTAAACACACACGATTTTTGCTGGCCTCTCCTAGACGACTGTTTCACCATGCTTCCCCCTTACACCTTTATAATGATATTTATTCTGGATACGAATTTGTTGTTGAGTCCTCGATGAGGCTGTGGAACTGGCAGGATGGGCGGAGTGATATTGTACATGGGGGACTGGATTATTTTTTCTCTCGGAACTTCGAAAACAAATTCGTCGACAAAACGTCCTCCAAGAGTTCAGAGTTTTTCTACTCCATATCCACATACCACTGGTGATCCCCACAACGAGGGACATAAATATTTTAAGCATGAAAATTTCAATATTTGGAGAAATGTCTGTGTTGGGTCTATGCCATAGTCCTCTGTTGACATATTCGTAGAAGTAACAGGCGATCACACATGTCGCTGGTACAGTATATAACACACCAAAGATGCCTATCCTCAAAATGAGAATCTCAAGTTTGTCTGTTTTTACACCTTCATTGCGAACATGTTGTCTGATTCTGAATAAGGCGAAAAAGCCGGCTAACAATGAAGATGTCCCTAGTAGGAGATATACACACAGAGGTGCGATGACAAAGCCAATGAGAGAGCTTTGATTCTGGTTACCTACGTAGCATAAGCCAGTTAGTTCGTCACCGTCCACTGTCCTCATCACGAGGATGATAATAGTCTTAATGGCGGGGATGGCCCAGGCCGCCAGGTGGAAATAACTGCTATGATGTTGTATAGCTTCGTGACCCCATTTCAATCCAGCGCTGAGGAACCAGGTTAGGGTGAGTATGACCCACCAAAGAGAGCTGGCTGTTCCAAAATAGTACAACAAGAGGAACACTATAGCACAGTCTGTATTGTTTAATCCTTCCTGGATGAGAATGAAGACGTTGCTCTGGTTGTGGCAGGAGATGGCAGAACGACCTGCTATCAGCCTAACAATGAACGCAATAGAGTAAATATTATAACACATACTTAAGAATATGATGGGTCTTTCTGGATATCGAAACCTTGAGGAATCAATGAGGAAAGTTAGCACAGTGAAGAGGGTTGATACAAAGCACAATCCAGCCCAGATACCCATCCAAATATCAGCAAAGTATTTATCTCCCTCATTGAAAAGATCATCTTCACCACATCGAAGTGCACATTTTTCTGAACGGTTCAGAAATTCATATTTTTCAGAGTTTCTAAATTCCGAGCATGATCGATCTATGTTGTCTTCTTTCGGTTTAGCCCCGCGTGGAATTAACGTGCCTGTTGGTGGTGGACGTATGTCATAGCCTGGCCTGTGAGTCTTAGACGTAGGCCTGTCTTTCTCCTCACCCATACCCCCATCCATACACATATAATCGACATTGTTCTGGGGTGGGAATTTAGAGCAATTCAACGCTGCTGGCCATGTAAAACCAAACTCCTGAAGGACAGGCTGGCAACGTTTCTTGACATTTTCGCACATTGGTCTGCAAGGCCCTATAGGTTGTATCACCTTCGTCGTACACATAGGGACGTAGACAGAGCAGAGAAAGAACTTGAGCTGAGTGGAACAATTGTACTGGATCAAGGGAGTAAATGTCTGCAACTGGAGCTCAGCGTCTTGTTGGGACTCGTGACCCACAAGATTCGGCATCCCGGTGACGTTATACCCCAAACCATTGCACATTTCGATGCGAATCGGATCACAAGTTCGTACCACATCCGACCCGCAAACCACTACGGGAATCGTCAATGTAAATAGCAAACTTATCAATTGCCACATAATCTTAATAGACTCTCCGAGCCCCATTATTGATAAAGCTAATGTTTTTTACATCTCAGTTGGGGTATATTCTTAGAAACGTTTAGTTATATCCATATAATCCTAAATTCACTGGCGATAGATTTTTAGAGAATTGTTTTATCGTCGCAGTCGGCTTCACTACAATTGCGTAGATCCCATATGGCTCGCTGTTCCACAAAGTAAATCTCCACTTGAGGCGTTTGAAGTTCGTATTTAATACATCCCCGGAGTTTTGTATAAACTAGAAGAAACATACAAGATTTCGCTGTTAAGACCGAACAATGTGTGTTGATTCGAGTTCTTATTCACTAATGAAAGCTTTTCACCGCGGTTCAGTATTACTATCCAAACAGTACTTGATCGGAGATTGGCTAGCCACCAATCAGATCAATGGATGATTGGAACTCCGCCTATTTGCGGGATTTGGTGCACTGCCTGCGCTGTCGTACGAATTATTGAATGGCCGCTTGTGAAAAGCTCTTGGTTTTGTTGCGATGTATGCACCAACAGCGGTAAGTCCGTCTCAATAAAGGCTTTGTCCAACTCCTAACAATGGTATTTAATAATATCACTCTCTTCAACTTCTACTTAGTTCGTCAATCGGCCACTTTGCAATCGCGTATTCCCCTGTTGATATAGACCAGGTTTTCAACATCTTATTCTGCACGTTCAGCAGCCCTCGTTTAGAATCAACTCAAAGAACATATCCAAGCCAACTCGAAGTAGACAGTAGTACTTACTATTTACTCCTAAGAACACTCAGTTCGAACCACTTCTATGGTGATTTGCCAATCCACAAGCAACTGATCATTTGCTATTGTGTAACGCATAGACTGAAAAGCATCCTTCAATTCATATGTACCTTCAAAGTGCTCTTCATCGACGTGATGATGTGATATGTCGACGGGATAGAATACGCTTCAATCCCCGTACTTACAAGTCATTTAATTTCTCATCAAGCTAAATAGGCAGGATTTCCATAAGTGTTTAGTATGGAATGCTGCCGAGACTGGGGAAGGCTTCGGGTTAATTTTGCTACGATTCGAACACGATGCATCGCATTGTATAAACTGCATTGCCATTTTATAACTATGTTTTGACAGACCGTTTCGCTAATGCATCTCAGAGCCAAAAGGGCCCAAAGAGGGAGAACAGGAAGAGGTTGTAGAGTATCCGTGAATTTTGCCCTTTACGCTTAGAGTCTTGTCTAGCAAAATGACAGCTTACTATTGTTAATAAAAATTCAAGTTGTGGTTTGCGAGTATCGGAGACTTTGCTAACTTGCTACTAAAACCAATCACAATGTACAATTCTTGGGTATGATCTCGAATTACTCTGATCCCTTGCTCCCCTATAATAGTCAATTCCATCAGGTCTGAGGTATAGACTTACCTTGCCGAGCCAGAAAAATAAACAATGTCTAACTTACAGGGCTGCTAGAGGAAATACACGTCCATTTACTGAATCTTCCCTCCAACAAGTGCAAGCTCACAACTTGCTAACTATCAAATACACTAAGAAATATTTCCCTATAACAATACATCTGGCTATGGATATAGAGATTTTTCTTAGCCATGGTTATTTTAACGATGAAAATATATACTAATTGAATAAGATTAGATATGTTGGAAAATTACTGATAACTTCTACCGACCCTAATTGTTGCCAAGAAAAGAAACAAATAATTTGATCGTTTTTGAAGGCGTATCACACGTGCATATGAAGCAAACGTCTGTATGTTCAATTGTTCATACGTTCAGATGTGATTATGTGCATCTGTTTGAATTTGCCGCTTCAACAACAGTAACAAATATGAAGATTGGGCCAGATGCAACTGGAAACGACTGCCATCTTTATATCGGAAACGACTCGGGAAAGAAAATATGGACAAATCTGCCATCTTTGTTTTAATACTTAGACTATTACCTAAACTGACTGGACCATGTATTTCTGTTGAATATTAGAATGTAGGCACAGATAAAATCGACGTTTATCTTTGTACAAAATATGCCTTTACATCAATAATCTTCATTATCAATTTCGTTCTTTCTTCCCGTCCATGCGTTTTAACTCAAATTCATTTCGTTCGTTGCGTACCTCACGATTGATCTGAAAGAAATGCTAAGAGATTGGCAAAGTTTGAGAATATTTTAATCTCCAATTGAAAATATTAACAATTAGGTGGTGTCAGCCTTCACTTGAAAGCTGAGACTCAGCTTGAAAGTAACTCCAATTTATGACATCAGTTAAGATGTCAGCCATATGCATAGTATTATGTTGAAATAATCATGTAGCCAGTTCGCCCTCTGGGCCGAAGTTGTCATATGCTACCATCTTTCAATCAATATATACAATACTTCTATCTGCCCGGCATGATGTTCACAATGAATACGTCTGCAAGGATTACTTCACAGCAAAATAATCAATACTCCAAAATGCATGCTGACACAGTTTCAAGCCTGATCAAGAATTGCAGCCATTCGCACAAAACATGGTCAAAGTGGTAATATTGTCCATGTAAATGAATTTAGCAAAAGCTCACTAAAACAGGCATTTCTAGAGCTCTGTGTCAACAGCATGAACATTTTCTATAGTATACTAGTAAATACAGTAAAACCAGTATATATTGAACATAAAATAATTTGTAAATAAGTCGACAGAGTTTGACCGGAGGGTCTCCACTAAAGACGGGTACGGTGTTCATCTGAGACATGGGCTCTAAGGTGGGAGAGCCCGTGCTAGAGGAAGGTGTTCACTATTGACAGGTTTTACTGTATATTGCATCACCACCTCATACAGTTATAACAAATGCAATTCTAATTACCTTCATACAGAAACTATTTTATTTATCAATCTACAACTGCTACTACATAAAATATGTTGGATAAAACACTTTTGGAATAAACATATTTTAAAACAAACATATTTGAACTACTTGTAAAGCTTTATACAGATTCACCTCATTCCGAGGCTTCTGGTTATATATCAGATATCTATCATAGGTGGATTATGAAGTTTGGAACATAATATCTGCCCCGCCTTTTTTAGACCACCAATAAGACCACATGGTCGTAATCCATGATGGTCTGATAGAATCTGTTGTCCTTGTAATTGAGGGTGAAATCACTGATAATTCAGATGTACGTGAAACATCTTTAACTAGTATGGATAAGTATATATAAGGAAAGTAAAGGGTAATATGTATATACTACAATATGTGTACATTATAAAACATCCATCGTCATGCAAGCAGCTGTGAAGATCTTGATTGTTTACTTTGCTGCACATTTTGTTTGTGATCTCAAGACTTCTATTAAGGCTCTTGTTTTTGAAACATGGTGTCATTAGTATGAAATAGGATGAGATCATTAGAAATCATGTATCTTCAATTTGTGAGAAATGAATTAGTTCAACACACTGCTTGTGCCGTGGAACTAGATCAGACCTAAATCAGACATTCAATGACGAACGGTATCAACAAATAGAGAAGATGGGATCTAAATGGGATTTAAATCAGGACAAGCATCAGTGAGCATTACCTTTTGGAGACGTCTGATTTTTAACAGAAATCCAGATTCAAAACTTTTTTGTTAATGCCTGATAGCTCAGTCCAGGCACCTATCTTTCCAGAGTACAGGCTTCCAATGCATTAACACAATCCATTGTTTTTCGCAAAAACTGATTATGATTACAACTGATTGAATCATTGCCTTCATAAAGTGTTGACCTATGATTTTAACAACAGCATACTTCAGTATCAAGCTGCATAAGTCGCAATTCACTCTTTTGTTATGACTATGGTACTTTATTTATTTCCTGTTAGCAATGGCAATTAAGACATAGCCGTAGCTCAATGGCAGCACTTTGGACTTCGGATACCAAGGTTCGAAGTTGAATTCAGTTTCAATTTAACTTTTGTTTTTTCACTTTCATTCCAGTAATGGATATTTTAATATTATCCGAGTTGTCTGCAAATTCATAACATGTGAAGGATATTGCCTGTGAATTGATTTGGGTAAAGTTTTTTGGTCTGCAACCAACGGCGGCCGAACATACTTCACACTCAACCTATATATGAATCTGGATTTCGCTCGGTCATCTTCTGTTGTCGGGCATGTACTCTCCTGAATCGATTCATCAATTTAATGCCATCTTAGTTACTTAAAGTTATATATAATGTCCTGAATATTATATAAGGCCTTTGTAAGGCTAAACAAGTCGAAAGTCTAAATCGGTATGAATGACAGTACGAAATAAGTTGCAATGCAATGTAAAAGTTGCAACAAGTCTTGTTCAGCTCTGAACCATTTTAAATCCATTTTACTTTTACAGACTGCAGGATGCTTGGACTGTCTTACTATGAAGAATTTGTCTTGCGTGTAATATTCAACTTTTCATATATGTAAATCAATGGTCAACATACAATATGTACACGTTTCAGAATTAAAAGCATTTAGGGCACAATCTTTCGACAGTAGCATAGTTTGACTCGAAGCCCTCATCATCGACCATCCGCAACGCAGATCCACAACGCACCTGGAAATGTTTTGCGAATTCCACACAGAACCATTTACTGAGCACAATGCAACAGTGACGCAAATTGAAGGATATTGCTAATGCAACTGACCAAACAGTTGCAATAGATTTTCCCCTGCCGCAAATCACAAGAATTACCCATCTTTGTGACACTTGTTAACTTATTCGATTATGTCAATCCTAATTTATTTTAATTTATTGGGTTAATATGTTTATTTTTGCAGGCAACTGTCTAAAAAAATAAAGTTTACGTTTTTACTAAAGGTTGTTGGATTTTGTAAATTAAAATAAATTCTTAGAACAAATCTGTCAAGAAATCGGCGGTAAACCAAAATATTTCACAATAGACATCAACTGCTTCACGGCCTGTGCTGAGGAGATACACAGAAGGTATAGTGGCCTCTCGTCATTGACTTGATAACTGAGCAAATTACGGATATTTGGCCATTTAACATCCAATTTGTGCATTATCGATTGCACTGAAAATGTTCACCGAAAAATGACAAAGTACCTTAAAATAAGGTAAGGCAAACGGTCATGAGTGTGTCATTCTTTCTTGAAGATACTAGTTTCTCGTGATGTTAAGTTCTGCAAGACTATTTCTCCAAGAATTGTTGTTGCTTTATCATTTTTTACGACAAATAGAGGTGACCTGTCATCTTGAGTATATATCCAGTATTATCGGGTTTGATTTACGCATGTAATCATGGAAAACATACCTCTATTTGAGATTCCTGTGTTATGGTACACACAGGGACAACCGGGACATATCATTTTCATATCACTATCATTGAGTGATGATATAGTGTTTTTCATTGGTTTTGAGACCGGAATCGGTCGTTGGCCTTTACAGCAAATATTACACTTTGTAATCATTTCCAGCAGATGACATGTCGTCATCTCTCGTCTTCATAAATGCAGTTGCAAACTTGTTATTGGACATTTACATGTATTATTTGAATTTAAATAAAGAAAAAAAGAAACTTGGCTGACCATTAAATCTGAGGTTTCTTCCAATACCAGCATCTCTATTGTAACACCCCTGTTAGAAAGCTAATAAAAATTAATTTGAACTTTACTGCTTTGTGAAACGCACGTGGCAAACTACCAATTGTACAACAAATGCACGATATGATGCGACGCAAGATGTACCGGGTGGTGGCGCAAATGTGCAAATTGCAATCACAAACCAAAATTTGCGGATGATCAATGATGATGCCTCGGATTAACAAATCATAATAAAAGTACATGGTGAGATTTCCTGGCAGGCCCGTACCTCAGGTGTCAAAGTCAAAAATAACTTATCCAAAAGTATCTCCAAGTGGTATAACAACTGCAAAGCACAAGGGATTCTGTGTTCCTGCAGTAGACTGGTTGTTTACTTGCTTTTGAAATGTAAAATGAACATCAACCAATCAGTGAGAAAACAAAAACATTTCAACTATGGATGAGTCTGTCTGGAAATAACTAATACATTTCCCCTTTTCAAGCTAAAGAATGATCAAGCAACTTTGCGGTTCAGTTTCACACATCACTGCTAGTAACACTGCTAGTGCACGTTGTTATGGGAAACATAATTCAAACTAAAAATATTAACACGTATTTACAGTCTCAGGAAAGGCCTCTGTGTCTTTTAGGTTGACATATGGTACACCCATTGAATGTGGGGCCAAAGAGGCCACACATTTCATGGAATTTTCTTAATTTCTATTAAGATAGATAAGATAATTTGAAACATAAATGTTCCTTGATTTCATGGGTGGCAAATATTCCATGGGTCACCCCCTAATTTCACTAGACTGACCAGAGTAAGGTACCTCATCCTGGCATTTCCCGAAGTCTTTGCCAGCCTACCAATGCACCATATGCATACAGTATCACTATCGGCCTATGTACATTACGATAATGGTATCAGCTTCAATATTGTAAACTCGAGTAACAAACCGAACTCATGTCAGGTATCTGTTAAATGTCTTATCGTAAACTTGGTGAAGATTACAAACCTAAATCATGTCAGGTATTTATAAATGTCACCAAATTACAGCAAGTCTATGCCAGCTTTGGCACACATCTGGGTCAAAATGGAGGTGTCTCCGCTGGCCAAACGACCCAGCATGACAGGATCCATTTGGCTTAACATCTTCATAGCCACCTCAAATGCTCCTGGATCAACATTTGCAAACATGTTGCGCAGCTGTGGGTTTCTGTTGAGCTGTGCCAGGATGTCATCTTGATTGAAGCTGGCCTGTGCTATTCCAGGACTTACAGCTTGTTGAACTGGCATTGGCAGTTGTCTTCCATCAACACTCATTGCTGTAGCTCTCTGAAAGTATAGTGTCATCAAAGATTTGTTCTTCAATTCATACAATGGGGGTAGGTAAGGCTAAATTCTAATTTAGGTTTTGTACTTAACACTTAAGAAATGGGCCAATCAAACCATTTCTTAGCTCCTTAATAAGGATACCAAATGGCCATCACACTTCCAACATTGAACAATCAAATGATTTTTATTAGTTCCTCGGTAAGGAATATAACAATCACATTTCCAATGTTGGCCAACTGTTCTTATGATACCAAATGACAACCCCACTTACAATATTGGCCAATCAATTCATTTTATAGTTCTCCACCGCGGAAACAAATGGCCAATATTTTCCATTCACATAATTTCTTAGTTCCTCATTTTGGAAATGACCATAAATTCCAATATTGGCAAACAAATCAGTACAGATGATTTCTTACTTCTTCACTTAGGACACTTTCAATATTCGCCAATCAGCTGACTTTTAGTTCCAGAATTAGAATACAAAATGTCAATCTTACTTCCAATAATGGCCAATACTGGCCAAACGATTGATTTCCTAGTTCCTAATTTAGGATAACAAATGACCATGATATCCAATATTGGCCATCCTGAAGATTTCTTAGTTCCTCATTTAGAATACAAAATGACCATCACACTTCCAATATTGACAAATCAGATGATTTCTTAATTCTTCATTTAGGATACGAAATCACCACCACACTTACAATACTGGTCAATCAGATGATTTCTAAGTCCTTTATTTAGAGATACCAAATGACCATCACCCTTTCAGCCAATTTCTTAGTCCTTCATTAAGTCATTAAGGACTCCAAATGATCATCACACTTTTAATATTGGCCAATTAGAAGATTTTTTCGTCCTTTTGAGGACACCACCATCACACTTCCATTTTTGGCCAATCAGACAATTTCTTAGTTCTGCATTAAGGCAACCAAATAACCACCACACCACACTTCTCAAACTGGCCAATTGGCCAATTTTTCAGTCCTTCATTTATGACATCAAATGACCACCACACTTCTTATAATGGCCATCCTGATGATTCCTTAGTTCTTCTTTTCGTGCACGAAAAGACTATCACCCTTTCAAAACTGGCCAACCAGACAATTTCTTAGTCCATTATTTAGGATACTAAATGGCCATCACACTTTCAATATTGGCCAATCACACAATTTCATAGTCCTTATTGAGCACACCAAATGACCAACACATTTCTAACATTGGCCAATCAGACAATGTCATAGTTCTGCACTTAGTACATGTTTATCATCACAAGTTGGGATCAAAAGATTTGTCCACTACGGTGGAGCATGCAATTCATCAAGAACTTCCCAATATATTTTTGAACTCATTTGTTTCTTTATACAAAAGAAAATGACCTACTCCATGCAACTGCAATGGGTATATCATTTGCGGGAAACCTTCACTTATCTTTGAAGTTCAATAAAGCTGGGAGTAATAGCTAATGTAAAATGTGAAATACAACAAGATTGTTAATATAAAGTTTTCTTGAAGTTGAGCTGTTTTTGAACATTCATGTTCAATGAGAATGCACAGAGTTCCTATGTATACATGTTGTACATACGCATATACAATGTACTGATGCATATACGGTGTACCTATACACAGAGTTCATTCCAACTTTGCAGTCCTCTGCAGTATGAACAATCACATAGGTTGATACAAACCATGGTATACATACATACTATGGTATTGTTAGTGAACTACTATACTCTTAGTACATTCAAGGTGAAACCCCCCTCATCTCTTGGATTACTTGCTAAATGCACCAATAAAATAGAGGATATAAACATTCATTTGGAAAAGATATGTCAAAAAGTAAATGAAAAATGGAAATGATTTGAATTTCAATGTTGTGTTTGCAGCATCCTTAATGATCGATGACAATGCATCACAGGATTCGTTAATGCTCTTTTGATTATTGCTGTGAATAGATTAAAGGACGAGTCTATCATATTCACAGCGTTCTGAAGATAAAATATCAGGCAGATGTTGTATTATATGCTTGTTCCCAGGAATATGAGTCTAATATTTTGTGTAATGTAATGTTGAGGTCCATAAGAGGATATAGAAATACCTCTAAGGATAAACCCTACATCCTTATGTACACCTTTGCATACCTTCAGACCTTGGAGAAAACATACCTGTTTCTTCTCTAGTTCTGCCATACTTAATTGGATGTGTCCGAGGATCTCTGTGTCCCCTTGTGCCAGTCTCTCCAGACTGTCTGCCCCCAGGTTATGTAGCACCCCAGCAGCTATTCCCAGGCTCTCTGGACTCATACCTGACACCAAGGGGCTGAACTGAGGGTGCGAGCGCAGCTTGTTGATGATGTCATTGACACTGGTGGTCAGACCTCTGTACTGGTTGCTAGCACTGGGCCCTGCTATAGCTGCAGATGCTCTCTGAGATGTCCCCGCTCCAACCTCCTGAATATGTTTCTAAAAAGTCACATGTCATACCCTTATTAAATATGATATCATATGCTTGTTTCATTCATTTCTTATTCATTCCAAAGAATCCAGACATTTATTTTCACATTTGATTGTGAAAATATGTATATGAGAAACCTGGGAGGGCCTCATCTCATCACACAAAATCTTTAACCAGGGCCATTGTGATGATCACAAAACTATTTTTTCTTCTTTTCACAACCTTTATTTTACTAAACAGGACGTTTCGGATCCTGTCTGGATCCTTTTTCAACTGTATATAAACTGAACTGAAGCGCTACAAAACAATTAAATAATTTAATTAAGCGCTTTGGTTCAAATTTACTCTGAACCAAAACAATACGGGAATAAGCAATATATTGCTGAAAACAATGTGGGAAGCAAAGGGTTAAAGTTCAGCATGATGTCCAAACATCACTGACATAAACTATACTGTTCAGAAAATAAAGAACTTAAACAAAAAAACAATCACCCAATCCATTTGCAAACACTCAATGCATTTGCAAGCACCAAATGCATTGCAATCAACCAATGCATTTGCAATCACTTGATGCATTTGCAAGCACCCAATGCATTGCAATCACTGCATTCTTCATCCAATAAGTTCTTGTTTGTTTTCAACAGCTGGAAGTCACAAATCCCAACAAAAATATGTTTTCCTAAATCAGGTTTTCATTTGAAAATAAATGTTGCAATCTGTACTTAAATACATTTGAGTTGAATTTAATAAAGACATACTATATAAGTGGTATTTTATCCAAGTGCTTAATTTGCCGAATGGTCTTTTATAATTTTCCTAATTCTAATTTTCCTAATGACAAGAAACTTCCCATTGGATAACGTTATGAAGATAATATTTCCAACATTTAATTTTTCGAAACCTGGCAAAAATTAGGAAATACACTGTAGGCAAATTAAATGATTAGGCAAAATGACTACTTATACAATAAGTGCATTAAGAGTCCCATAAAAGTGCATTATATAAGCTAATACTTACATGCTTCGGCTGGTAGTCTGGTTCATGTGGATCCAACATACGTTTACTGATTTTATGTGTCTGGTTTTTAATAAACATCTTACCCGGCTGAAAATGTAAAAGATTGATTAAATGAGATTCGAACATGACTGTATTCAAGCCTTCTACAAACTGTAAACAAAGTCAATGCTTCAGCTGGGTTATATTCGAGATCAATAACCCAGTTAATACGTGTAATGTGTGACGTCATAACGGTAGGTCGTAGTAATGGCGGACCATGATGAATATTCGAAACAATTTGGAGAGTTTTCATGTTCGAATCGTAATATAGACCTCAGAGCAGGGGTAATATCGTCGAAATAAGAATGAATTAATGATAATTCGAACATGACTGTATTCACGCCTTCTACAAACTGTAAACAAAGTCAATGCTTCAGCTGGGTTATATTCGAGATCAATAACCCAGTTAATATGTGTAATGTGTGACGTCATAACGGTGGGTCGTAGTAATGGCGGACCATGATGAATATTCGAAACAATTTGGAGAGTTTTCATGTTCGAATCGTAATATAGAGCTCAGAGCAGGGGTAATATCGTCGAAATAAGAATGAATTAATGATAATTCGAACATGACTGTATTCACGCCTTCTACAAACTGTAAACAAAGTCAATGCTTCAGCTGGGTTATATTCAAGATCAATAACCCAGTTAATGCGTGTAATGTGTGACGTCATAACGGTGGGTCGTAGTAATGGCGGATCATGATGAATATTCGAAACAATTTGGAGAGTTTTCATGTTCGAATCGTAATATAGACCTCAGAGCAGGGGTAATATCGTCGAATACACTCCTTGGGGCTAGGCACAAAAACAAAAACGTTTGTGCCTAGCCCTGCGGGGTCTATTCGACGATATAACCCCTGCTTTTTGGTCTATATTTCTTAAATATTTCACGTATAATACACCCTCAATCCGCTCTCTAAAATCATGGTGATGTAAGGTAACATACAACACCGTAACGGATTCAAGGTACCATATGGTACTGTTTGAGTGCACAGTACCATATATAATGGTACCGTAATGGTCCTAAAGCCAAAACAGTACTGGTACAATATGGTATTGTTGCAGGTTGGATATGTAGGAGCTTGTATGAGAGGAGAGAATGTGTTTGCATATTTCACATAAAGCAGGACATTGTACAGGAAGAAAAAAATCAATGTGTTGGACATTGTTCGAAAGGGTTCATAATTTTGTTCTTGTATTCTATATACCGGAAAAAAAGGAGACCATTGAAATAGGCAATATCTCCTAAAATAGACTAGTGACATCAATGAAATTTTGCATACATCAGGACAGTTCTATGAAATTTGTTCCTGAAAGTGTCAATACAAGCAGTCAACTGGTTCAGGAGCTATGATCATTTACATAACATGCTCCAAATAGGCGCAATTGAGACCAACGCAGAGCTGGATACATTTGGCAAATACCCTTACATATTCCGACCTTGTTATGGCATTACATTTAGCATTTATTGCCACCTTTAGGTCAGCAATTGTCTCAGGATTGTTTTGGTACACATTGTCTTTCAAATTGCCCCACAAAAAGAAATCAGGTGGATTCAAATTTGAGGTGTATGGAGACGAAGCTTATCTGACCTATGGCTTCTGACTCAGTGGTCCCACTCAGTTACAGTATCATCCTAAGGAGGTTTTGGGCAGCCCTTGGTTTTCATATGGGATTTAATTGTGCCATATAGTGGTTTTAGTAACATGGCACTATGCCCAATACCTAAAGTGACTCTTAAGATTTGGTAAATCAGCACTTTGGCAACAGGATGATGAACCACATGTCAGATAACCCTTCATTGCCATTACAGCCTAGACTTGAATCCTGCTGATTTCTTTTTGTATGGATATTTGAAAGACAATCTATACCAAAACAATCCTCAGACTATTGTTGACCTAAAGAAGGCAATCACTGCTATATGTAATGCCATAATAATGCCATAGAGGGCAGAACATGTAAGGGTAGTTTGCCATATGAATCCAACTCTGCGTTGGTCTCAATTGTGCCTATTTGGAGCATGTTATGTAAATGATCATAGCTCCTGAACCAGTTGAATGCTTGTATTGAAACCTTCAGTAACAAATTTCCATATAACTGTTCCAGTGTATGCAAAATTTCATTGATGGCACTTGTCTAGTTTAGGAGAAATTGATTACTTCAATGGTCTCCTTTTTTTCCGGTCACCTGTACCATGGTGTATATGAACTTACATGTTGCTTAAAGACGAGGTCTCTCCCCTCCTGTGTCTCAAATAGTACATGGGCAAACTTATCCTGCTGTCTTCCCCAACGTCTTGCTATTGTCATAGAGCCAAACTTCTCAAATATCTTCCTCAGTTCACTTGTGCTCACCTGAATGGAAAGTAGAAAATAATCAATTCAGCCATATGCCTGTCCAAATACATTGTAATGTCTCATTTCTTTGCTTCATGGTTAATTTGAAAACCTTCAGATAGTTTCATAGGACATGGCTTCATTTGATACACTTGGGAACACTCATGTCAGATGATTCAAAGGCTGTGTGTGTTATGTTCTATTTAAGAAGAATATGTTTGATTGACATACTAATAAAGAGTACTCTTAGAACATATGTTTGATTGATATACTAATAAAGAGTACTTTTAGAATATATGTTTGATTGACATACTAATAAAGAGTACTCTTAGAACATATGTTTGATTGATATACTAATAAAGAGTACTTTTAGAATATATGTTTGATTGACATACTAATAAAGAGTACTCTTAGAACATATGTTTGATTGATATACTAATAAAGAGTACTTTTAGAATATATGTTTGATTGACATACTAATAAAGAGTACTCTTAGAGAATATGTTTGATTGACATACTAATAAAGAGTACTCTTAGAGTATATGTTTGATTGACATACTAATAAAGAGTTCTCTTAGAGAATATGTTTGATTGACATACTAATAAAGAGTACTCTTAGAACATATGTTTGATTGATATACTAACCAGAACAACGGCAACGCCAAAGCGTAGCGAATCCCATCGAACATTTTTCAAAACGGGCACCTTCTACCAAAAGTGTCATAAGACAGTGTGCCATGCTTATAATATTCACATACCAAATATGAACAAAATCGCTCTACTACTTTTCGAGTTATAGTAAAATACGTTAAAATGGCGGCCATTTTTCAAAATGGCCGCCTTCTACCAAAAGTCTCATTAGACAGTGTGCCATGCTTATAGTATTCACATACCAAATATGAACAAAATCGCTCCACTACTTTTCCAGTTATAGTAAAATACGTTAAAATGGCGGCCATTTTGAAAAATGGCCGCCTTCTACCAAAAGTGTCATTAGACAGTGTGCCATGCTTATACGTATTCACGTACCAAATATGAACAAAATCGCTCCACTACTTTTCGAGTTATAGTAAAATAAGTTAAAATGGCAGCCATTTATCAAAATGGCAGCCATTTTTCAAAATGTCCGCCATTTTTCAAAATGGCCACCTTCAAACAAAAGTGTCATTAGACAGTGTCCCATGCTTACAGTATTCACATACCGAATATGAAAAAAATCGCTCCACTACTTTTCGAGTTATAGTAAAATACGTTAAAATGGCGGCCATTTTGAAAAATGACCGCCCTCTACCAAAAGTGTCATTGGACAGTGTGCCATGCTTATACGTATTCACATACCAAATATGAACAAAATCGCTCTACCACTTTTCGAGTTACAGGAAAAATCGTAAAACAACGAGTAAAGGCCGCCATTTTTCAAGATGGCTGCCATGTGCTTTTTTAATATCTACATTTCCAGCTTTATTAATGTCCTATATAATTTTTTTACATTTAAAACATATTGCTATTACAGTTTTACATATTGCACCTAAATTACTGTAAAATCGGCACTAAAATGGCCGCCATTTTTAAATGAGCGGCCATTTTGAAAATTGGCTTTCGAGCAGAACTTCTACCCCCATAGGGTATATGTGTACAAAATATGAATAAAATCGGGCGAACGGTATTTGAGTTATTGCCCGGACGGACGGACAGACGGACGTACGTACGGACGTACGTACGGACGGACGGACGGACGGACGGAGGCGTTCCCTATATCCCTCCGAACTTCGTTCGATGGGATAATAAAGAGTACTTTTAGAATATATGTTTGATTGACATACTAATAAAGAGTACTCTTAGAGAATATGTTTGATTGACATACTAATAAAGAGTACTCTTAGAGTATATGTTTGATTGACATACTAATAAAGAGTACTCTTAGAACATATGTTTGATTGATATACTAATAAAGAGTACTTTTAGAATATATGTTTGATTGACATACTAATAAAGAGTACTCTTAGAGAATATGTTTGATTGACATACTAATAAAGAGTACTCTTAGAGTATATGTTTGATTGACATACTAATAAAGAGTTCTCTTAGAGAATATGTTTGATTGACATACTAATAAAGAGGACTATTAGAGTATATGTTTGATTGACATACTAATAAAGAGTACTCTTAGAGAATATGTTTGATTGACATACTAATAAAGAGTACTCTTAGAGTATATGATTGATTGACATACTAATAAAGAGTACTCTTAGAGAATATGTTTGATAGACATACTAATAATAAGAGCATTTCGCCATTATAGCCTATGGAATGGCTACTACTCACATTCAGTGGCCCCATAACATATAAGTCATATTTCCCTCCTCCAGCCATCTTCGACTCAGCATTGGGACCACCACCAAGTTTTGGAGTGTTTTGCCCTAAATTAGAGTTGGCCCTATCTTCTGTTCTGGGGGCGGAAACAGAGCCTGACATGAGGGGGACAATAGGGCCTGACCTGGGGGTATGACCAGACCTAGATCCAGTAGTCACAGTAGTTTCAGGCTTTCTTGAATTCTGTGATTGTTTGCTCTGAAAATATAATATCACAAAAGATACAGTAAATAAACATTAAAAAAATGTATGTCGTTTAAGTGTTTAGAACACCAAACATTTTGTAGCTAAAACATATTCACATTCAGAATACAGTGCTGTATGTTGTTTCATAAGGGGATTGACAAAGTTCTTTGAGGAGTGGTGTCTTTAGGTATGACAAGGGTAATATAGTGAAAGACAATTAAACTTCACAATTCAAATGATAATTCCAGAAACCTTTGACAAATGGGCCTGACCTACCTGCTTTTCAGTTGTAGCACTCTTGTCAAAGTTCTCTACGCTGACTTCATACTCCTGGTGCTGAATATGCACTACCTTGCCCTGAAAATATAACAAACTTATACTATATTTTCTCACCAATGTGTTCAACATATTACCCCATAAATCTTTTTCTAGAAGACTCTAAAATTCCCAAGTTATTTAATTCTGAAATACTTACGAATTTAGTAAATACGGCATTCCGGTCTTCTCTTCTTTCAAAGTTCACCTTGGCATATCTGTAACAGTAATTTACTATTAGTGAGAGCTGAATCTGATTCAGTGGTTTGGGGATGATTTTAATCACAAGTTTCTTGTATTCAGCAAAAAAACTGTACACCAGCTAGCAGACAAGCAAAATATTATGAAACAGTATATGCTCAAGGAAGTGATATTTTGAAGACGCTGACCACCGATCACTGACAGTGGATCACAGTACACAAAAGTTTTGGAGACTATAACAATAAGTCACAATTTCTACTAACCTGACTGATCTATTGCACCATTTCTTCTCCACAATACAGGTGCCGATTTGATTAACAAAGAAATTCCGAATGCTACAAGGGCTAGACTGAAAGTAAAATGACATGACGTGTAAATTCTCTCAATCAGTTTGATGTTAAACTAGTCAGTTATAAATCCTTTCCTGTAAGACAAGAATAAAATATAATAATAAAAAGGATATAAAATACAAGATGTGAACATGAACTGAAGCTCTTTGATTGGTCAGTTTTTGTGCTGTACCAGTCTGTATTGCTAATGAGATTGTCCCCCTTGATCATCAGTATATATTCTGTCTCGACTTCGTCTCGTTCCAATACAGAATTTCTTGAGCAAAATATATCCTGTATTGCATTCAATAACTTATAGTATCAGCATCTTTACTCAGGGACATCCAAAGATTTTAGTTGACAAATAGAAATGCACATTCACACTTTTTGCAGGTCAGAATTGCTGGAATTACACCAGTTGTTTTGGAAAGGCACCTAAGGTTTTAACCCAGTTTGAAAAATAGGTGTAATCACGATTGCAGTTTTACAATACCAATACTCCTAGAACCCCAGTCACTAAAATATGCCTTAAATCTTTTGGCGAGTGCAGTGTTATACCGATCGGTTTTTGTAAAACCCTTTTCCCGGGTTTTTACAATTTGCCCTAAATGAAATAAGACATATTTTTGGTAAATAGCTGAGTATGTACATGTTTTTTATTTTATTTGCTCAAAATCAATAAAAGATAAATAAAGAAGTATAGCTATATGAAGTAGTATGCAATGCAATCTACATTTTTTAATCAAATGATGGCAGATCAGTTTTGCCATAGATGCTAAAAGAATACATTTACAGTAAATGTACACAACTGCTGGATATTCTCCATATCTATTTTTCCATCAATGTATATATATACAATTCTAAATAAAATAAATCTCTAGAATTACAATTAAGTTTCCCATTTATAGGTATGAACACAGTTTGAACTCACCATAGTTCCCTTCGCCTTCATGTATAGTGGAAATACATTGGGTGAGACAACACCTCCCTGCTTGGAGGCTTGGCTGCTCTCTGCTATTGCTGGGCCTGAGCTCACACTAGGGGTGGGACGTACCATAAAGTCATCCTTTGAAGCCATGCTTATGTTCAACTTTACCCCTTTGTATTGGATTGGATTTGCCTAAAACAAAACAATTAGAAGTACAGGGACTACATATCAATCTGAGACTGGCTTCTGCTTAATGAGACAAGGCATTAACATGACAAAATGTCACCACCTAAAAAAGTTTGGTAAATGTAAAGCAAGTTGAAAAAAATGTTGACCTTTTTTTACCTTGAGAGGGTCAGATGTCAAACCTAAAGTCAGATTTGAACTTCTGCAAACTTGTAGATGATTTTGAAATACATTTAGTTCATTTGAAGCAAGTTGAAAAGACCTTTTTGACCTTAAGAACACCATTGAAGGTCAAATCTCAAATCTAAAGTCAGATTTGAACTTCTGAGAACTTGTAGAGGATTTAGAAAAAATTGAAGGCAGTCTAAACAGAACAGTATTTGTTAAGTTATTGGAAGTTGTAAGAATTTGTAACATATGCCACATACATATATTATTAGGGTATTGTCAGAAGTCAAATGATTAAATGCAGTTACAAATTGACTTTTAAGAGTGTTTTCTAACTGTACTGACACTAATCTTAAAATTGACAATGTGTGTCTGTTCAAATTGACCATTACATGTATCTGTTCTAATGTGTGTATGCTCAAGGGATCTGTACAGGCAGAGTGAAACTCTGCATTATTGCCACTAAATAGTATGATTGCACAAACTGTATGATTGCACAAACTGTACAATTGCACAAACTATATGATTGCACAAACTGTCTGGTTGCAAAAAATATATGATTGCACAAACTGTATGATTGCACTAACTATATGATTGTTAAAACTGTATGATTGCACAAGCTGTCTGATCACACAAACTGTATGGTTGCACAAACTGTATGATTGCACGAACTATATGATTGCACAAACTGTATGATTGTACAAACTATATGATTGTTAAAACTGTATGATTGCACAAGCTGTCTGATTGCACAAACTGTATGATTGCACAAACTGTACGATTGCACAAACTATATGATTGTTAAAACTGTATGATTGCACAAGCTGCCTGATTGCACAAACTGTATGATTGCACAAACTGTATGATTGCACAGACTATATGATCACATAAACTGTATGATAGCACAAACTATATGATTACACAAACTTTATACTTACATGATGTTTTCTCAACAGTTCATCAACTTCTTTTGCACTTTTAAGTTTCATATATACAACACTACAAAGTAAATGAATATTATTAATTAAACTTCATACTGGTTAGGGTAACACAGCTGATTTAACCTCCAAAGCTCTAAAATTCTGGGACATATTATCTCATCACTCTAGGTCTCAGGGTCATTTCTTCGATGACAAGAAATCTCGTCACTCTTGCTAGTCAAGAGGTTAACTGCTTAGTTACAAAGCATTCAGACAAAAAATTCATATGGAACGATTTTGATGTGTCACACAGGCAGAAAACCCTGCTGTGTAAAATGTACTACCAGAGACTATAAATCATTTATCACATTCCCAGATCATATAAATTGAAATGTATGGTGTGGTTTCAAGTAAAACTCATCAATGCTGACTGTACAAGAATCTAAGTATTTCTTCATAAAAGAAACATTGACCATGTTACATATGCAATTGTGCCCAATGTATCACTAAATCATGACATTTCATTTGTATACTTTCTAATGAAAATAATTGAAGCAAACTTAATTAGTAGTACAGCCCTGTAGCAAGGGGGAGTTCAAACCAACCCCCCTCCTCTCCCCAGCTAAAAATTCATTCAAAATCATGCAGCTTTTCTCCATTCTGAGCATTTTTCAAGTGATTTGGGCGATTTCTGTACCAAAGTTGTCAAATGTGAACCCACCTAGAATTTTTCAAAAGGAAAACCTCCCTTGGCAAAAGCTTGCTACTGGCCTGAGTAATATGTCTTTAAAAATGTGATATTGCAATTCAATTTACTTACTTGCTCTGTTTCCGTAGTTTCACGTAAAAAAGTGGATCTGAGTGGTCAAGGGCGACAAATTTATCAAAGAATTGGAAAAGTAGAGGGACCTTCCACTGAAAATAGAGATAAAAGGGATGTTAAGTTATATGTTTTTAAAAGTGCATATGAACGTGTATAACTATGGTCCTCTGTTGATTATAGTTCTCACATTTGTACTGTTTACTTTACCAATTGAACAGAAAATAATTGTAATTAGGTCCCCTGGAAAGTGAATTGAGAGTGGGATAGTAATCCATGGGGGTCGAAATACTACATGCTCATGTACATGTACCTCCCTAACATTAAAGATCCAAGTATTGTTATTGTTTTTTATAGAAAAAGCACTATTCTCTGTTTGGAGAACAAAGTTCATCAGTCTAACTGCATGTTACGCCTGCTTTGGAAAATTTTGATATTTTTACATCTTGTAGATTTTTTGAATAGTCTCATGTAACCGGATATTGTGGTATTGTAAAGAGGTATAATTTGGGTGAAATTTCTATTTTTTTCATTAAGAAATTATTAGCCCATGAGACTGTTCTCCAAACCAAGACTTGTCCTTTAAAATTGCAACCAAGTAATTTATCCAGCATGCCAAAAACCTAATGAGATCTTGGCACCTGTCTAACAGGTAAGTGGTTTTCCTGGAATCTCGATGACAAGATTTATATGGAGCCTACCTGCGAACCCTCTCACCCAGCAGCACAAGACAACTTTGAAAAAGTGTTATAAAAACTTAAAATTGATGTTTTACAATTTCAGTTCTCCGATCCTCTTGAAAGTGTCTTCACAATTCAATGTCATTGCTTATATGATTTACTGCACTGCATAATGAAATATTTAACCTATGAAAGAATTTGGATATCATAGTTTTTCAAGTATATATCTCTTGAATAAGGCAGAGGTGTATTTCTATCTCTATGGATAAGATATGGAAACAACAGTGGACAACTCTAAGCAAAATATTCAATATTTGATCTCTCATGAAGTACCAAATCAAGAATTCCATGGTGCAGAATAGAATCTCACTTTTCAAATGATGTATTGCCTTTTTGTATGCATTTTTCTATAGGACAAAAACAAAGGGTTATTTTTGCAGCTTATCAGTTTTGGAGGATTTGTATGGCCTTCTCTATAAGTGACACACTAATAATATAAGTGACATAAGTAATTTATATATAAATCTACACAATCTACTGTATTTTTTCTATACTTATAATACATATACACATACAGGCATGTGTTGTAACCCCATTTCTGGTGGTTACAATCTTCTGAACTGACTCAGAATTTAGACGACTTAAACCAAAATGTAAATCAAATTAATCTCAAGTCTTAACTGCGTTTAAATTAAATATACAAACATGCAATTACATTAGATCTGATCTCTGTGTTGCTGTAGTCGAATAATCATTGAGAGTCCAGCTCCCGTTGTTTTACATATAGTTTTGGTCTGAATGGCCAGCGCCTTAGGAAAGTTAAAGTGTTCAAGGCGGGTTGGCTCCCAGAGTGCATCACAGCAAGTTAATAGCCAAATAAGTCTATATATTCATAGGCATAGCCAGGGGGGGAGCTTTAAAATGCTTTTAATTTGAAGCTTCTAGCTCAATTTTGAAGGAAGTTACATCGCTTTTTGTTAAATTCAAATGAAATCTTCATCATTTGGTTTGTTTATGACACAATCGCACCCCCCCCCCACCTGACTGAAAACTGCCAATTTTTGGTGATCGCACCCCCCTAACTGATAACCGAAATTTTTGGGCGATCCCTACCCCCCTGACTGAAAGCTGGCTATGCCCCTGATATTGTTGTCAAAATTCAAGTCATATTACATAAGGCAGTACAGGGTTAATAATTAACTTGATGTTATGTCTTGTCCCTTGAGTCATAACAATAATTGTTCCTTGAGTCATAACAACAATAATTGTTCCTTGAGTCATAACATATGCATATAGTGCCATAGAGATAAATTGATACAAACTGATAAACTTGCTCTTTCATTGACTATTGCTTGATTGCTATGATTTTTTCTGTATAAAATATGAGGGGCGATCTGAAAGTAATTGACTCGTAGGTTGATTGAACTTATTACATGTGCTTGCAAATGGCAGAGTAACTGTATTTCTAGCAAGACTCCAATCTGCTTTTAAGTTATATATTGCCATCCACTCTACAACCTCTTCTATACATTTAAACTACAAGTTTGCATGCATGAATGCACCCTTCATACTCATATACTAATTTTGCTCATATCCTGTCTCAGCACATTTTCTAAGTCATCAACCCCACAATCATCCACACAGCTAGTCATGCATTACCACTTTCTGGCCAATCAGACCACAGTATGACCATGCTCTATCAGATAACTAAGCATGGTTAAAAAATGGAAACTTAAGACCTTGTATGAATAACTACTTGCATATATTCATATAAATATTAAGCATTGAAATGATTGATGCTCAGTTTGACATCAGATAAATCCCTTGTAAAGTTTCAAGTTGATTATTTTAATAATACTGTTAAGTTGATAAATGCTATAGGTGAATTATTGCACAGGATTCTTATGTGCCTTAGAACTCAGGCTGAAGCTTCTGCTTTAAATAGCAAACAAGAACCTTTTGGAATTTTAAATAGTTTAGTAAAACAAAGAGGGGGAATAACCCCACAGTTCAAAGATGACAGACCTTATAATGTAAATCTGTATTGAGATGACATCGTGCTGATTGGTAAAATCAACAGACAAACATAGTGGTTTCAAAATGTTCTAAACATGCTTCAAATTATGAGCATATTAACCAATATCATAGCTTGTGAAAGGAATATGCCTACATTGATTAAACAATGACGTGTTATATTCGAAAACTGGTGAGAATTTGCGCAAACGAAGGTGGTACGCAAGAGACGTAATTACATCTTTTAACTCTTAAACTCTGGGGTTTTCCCTCCTCTTAGTAAAACATGTCATTGCACTCCTATGTTTTTAAAGTAAGCATTTTAATCATCTGATGAGTCAAGGTTAATATCCTCTTCCTCCAAAGTCAATTCACATTCAACTCCCTCATTATCCTCCTCATCCACTAACATCCACTCAATTACACCAGTCTTTTCTACAGCAGTCGTATTGTCTTGTTCCTCAACAACTAAAGCAATTATATTATCATCTAGAGCTTCTTTGTCAGTGCTAAGTTCCTCAACAGTTACAGTTTCTTGATTGTCAGTGCCCTGTTCCCCAACAACTTCAGTGCCTCCACTGTCAGTGCCCAGGTCTTTCACAGCAATAGCATCTTCATTATCAGAAACCTGTTCCCAAACCACAATAGTTTCTTCATTATCAATGCCCTGTTCCCCAACAGCTAAAGCTCCTTTTTTATCAATACGCTGTTCCCCAACCACAACAGTTTCTTCATTGTTGGTGTCCAGTGCCCCAACAACTTTACTGCATACTTGGTCAATGCCCAGTTCCCTAACAGCTATAGCATCTTCATTGTCAGAGCCCAATTCCTCAACAACATCAGATTGTTCACCATTGGTGTCCAGTCCCCCAATTTCACTGCCTACATTGTCAATGCCCAGTTCTTTCACAGCAATAGCATCTTCATTGTCAGAGTCCTGTTCCCCAACCACAATAGTTTCTTCATTATCAATGCCTTGTTCCCCAACAGCTAAAGCTCCTTCTTTATCACGGCCCATTTCCTCAACAACAACTACAACAGTTTGTTCACTATTGGTGTCCAGTCCCCCAACAACCTCACTGCCGACATTGTCAATGTTCAGTTCTTTAACAACAATAGCATCTTCATTATCAATGCCCTGTTCCCCAACAGCTAAAGCTCCTTCTTTATCAGGGCCCATTTCCTCAACAACAACTACAACAGTTTGTTCACTATTGGTGTCCAGTCCCCCAACAACCTCACTGCCGACATTGTCAATGTTCAGTTCTTTAACAACAATAGCATCTTCATTATCAATGCCCTGTTCCCCAACAGCTAAAGCTCCTTCTTTATCAGTACCCATTTCCTCAACAACAATAACAGTTTGTTCACCATTGGTGTCCAGTCCCCCAACAACTTTACTGCCTACATTGTCAATGGCCAGTTCCTTATCAGCTATAGCATCTTCATTGTCAGAGCCCAGTTCCCTATCAGCTAAAGCTGCTTCTTTATCAGTGCCCATTTCCTCAACAACAGTTTCTTCACTACTGATGCGCATTTGCTCAACAACTTCACTGTCCTTAACAACTATAGTATCTCCATTGTCAGAGCCCATTTCCTCAACAGCTAAAGCTGCTTCTTTATCAGTGCCCATTTCCTCAACAACAGTTTCTTCACTACTGATGCGCATTTGCTCAACAACTTCACTGTCCTTAACAACTATAGTATCTCCATTGTCAGAGCCCATTTCCTCAACAGCTAAAGCTGCTTCTTTATCAGTGCCCATTTCCTCAACAACAGTTTCTTCACTACTGATGCGCATTTGCTCAACAACTTCACTGTCTTTAACAGCTATAGTATCTCCATTGTCAGAGCCCATTTCCTCAACAGCTAAAGCTGCTTCTTTATCAGTGCCCATTTCCTCAACAACAGTTTCTTCACTACTGATGCGCATTTGCTCAACAACTTCACTGTCTTTAACAGCTATAGTATCTCCATTGTTAGAGCCCATTTCCTCAACAGCTAAAGCTGCTTCTTTATCAGTGCCCATTTCCTCAACAACAATTTCTTTACTACTGATGCGCATTTGCTCAACAACTTCACTGTCTTTAACAGCTATAGTATCTCCATTGTCAGAGCCCATTTCCTCAACAGCTAAAGCTGCTTCTTTATCAGTGCCCATTTCCTCAACAACAATTTCTTCACTACTGATGCGCATTTGCTCAACAACTTCACTGTCTTTAACAGCTATAGTATCTCCATTGTTAGAGCCCAGTTCCTCAACAGCTAAAGCTGCTTCTTTATCAGTGCCCATTTCCTCAACAACAGTTTCTTCACTACTGATGCGCATTTGCTCAACAACTTCACTGTCTTTAACAGCTATAGTATCTCCATTGTCAGAGCCCATTTCCTCAACAGCTAAAGCTGCTTCTTTATCAGTGCCCATTTCCTCAACAACAGTTTCTTCACTACTGATGCGCATTTGCTCAACAACAGCTCTTTCATCAACACAAAGTTTCTCTTTAACTTCATTTTCAAATGCTCCTAAATCTGACTTTTCAATAGGATTACCGCATATTTCATGTCTTAAGATTGCGAGCGTTTTCCACAATCCAGGTCGCTCTACATATTTACGTGCATTCACTTCATCCTCTGAATGCTCAAAATCACACTTGTCATCAATAGTTGCTTTGGATTGTTTCTCCTCCATCTGTGTATAGACTTGTTTATTCTTTTCAAAATCAGATAATTCAAAGTCAGGTTTCACAGAAACCTCAACCGTTTGACATTCACTTCCTTCAGTAGCTTCGATGGGATAATCACTGCCAGTCTTCACATTGATATCGCTTAAAGGTGCACTAACATTAGATGAATCACTCAGAGGAACATCTTTGCCTTGTTGTAAAAACATGTTAATGCCACCTTTTGCAGTTTCAGTTCCTACAGGTGAACCACTGGCAAAATCCTTTTTGATATCACCTTCAGGAGTTGCTTCTGTTTCATCAAAGGTTTCATCATCTGGACCCTCTTCACATTCCATCTGTTTGCATTCTGCATTTAGAGACACAATTTGTTCTGCATTAATGTTCATATTGTCTTCATTGTCAGATGTTGTTTCTATTTTCCTTTTGACATTTCCCTCATCTGATTCTCGAAGCAAAATATCATCAACAGACTGTGATTCAACGTCATTGTCAGATGCTGTTTCTATTTTTATTTTGACATTTCCCTCATCTGATTCTTTCAGCAAACTTTCATCAACAGACTGTGATTCAACGTTTGGTATATCCTCATGATCTGCTCTATCTGAAATATCTTCAGATTTCATCTGTTTGCATTTCATATATACTTTTAAAATTGGTGCCATTTTTGGACACTTTGAATATCTGTCAATTTCATAATTTTGCTTTGATGGACCCAGCTTAGAAAACGCATCCTCCAACTGTTTTAATTTAGAAGTTGGAATGCTATGACCACGTTTTATAAACTTCACACATTGACGCTTTCTATTTAAGAACAAATTTTTCTTCTTTTTTTTCTTTGCATCAAATTCATTTTTCTGAATGCATTCACCATGGAGACTTACAGTCTCTGTGTCTTCATTATTATTAACATTATCATTACTGAATGACCGGTGTACTGAAGAGACAACAGTTTGTTTTTCCTTTCCTCCTAACTCTGTATTTTCACTAGGAGAATTACTATCAGACTCTTCATTGTGATCAATGTTAATATTGTCTGATGGGGTTTCAATCTTTATTTTGACATTTCCCTCATCTGATTCTCTCAGCAAAATATCATCAACAGACTGTGATTCAACGTGTGGTATATCCTCATGATCTGCTTTATCCAGAATACTTTCAGATTTCATCTGTTTGCATTTCATATATACTTTTAAAATTGGTGCCATTTTTGGAAGCTTTGCATATTTGTCAATTTCATGATTTTGCATTGTTGGAGTCAGTTTAGAAAACGCATCCTCCAACTGTTTCAACTTAGCATTTAATTTTGAAATGCTACGACCTTGTTTCAGAGACTTTCCATATTGACGCCTTCTTTTAATGAACAAATTAATTCTTTTCTTCATTTTTTTCTCTGCATCAATTTCTTTTTTCTGAGTGCATTCACCATCTAGACTTTCATCCTCCTTGTCTTCATTGTTATCATCATCTTCATTATCATTGCTGAAAGTTTGGTGAACAGAAGGTTCAACAGTTTGTTTTTTCTTTCCAACTAACTCTGTATTTTCACTAGGAGAATGACTATCAGACTCTTGTTTGTCATCAACTAGGCATCTATTACTTGTTACAGTGGTTGTATCACTCGGAGGCTTATCTCTCATTTGCACTTGTATGCAATCTTCAAATGCTTTAAGAATTAAAGCCAGTTTAGGATCCTGTGAACACTTTTTAATTTCACTATTTTGCTTTACTCGGGTCAGCTGGGAAAACCTATACTTCAAACGTTTTAACTTGGTATTTGAAATACTTCCATATTTATTAATATATTCTAAACATTGGTGCTTGACATCATAATATATTTTAGTCAAGTTCACATCTATTTTTCTTTGTGTTCTCTCAGAACATTCACCATATGCTTCCTTAGGCTTGACAATGATGTCCATCAAAGGAACAACACATTCAGTATTACTGTTACTATGATCTTCATAGTCACAATTTAGAGACGCAATTTGTTCTGCATTAATGTTAATATTGTCTCCATTGTCAATTGTTGTTTCCATTTTTATTTTGACATTTCCCTTGTCTGATTCTCCCACCAAAATATCATCAACAGACTGTGATTCAACTTGCGGTATATCCTCATGATCTGCTTTATCTGAAATATCTTCAGATCTCATCTGTCTGCGTTTCATATATACTTCTAGAATTGGTGCCATTTTTGGAATCTTTGAATAGCTATCAATTTCAATATTTTGCTTTGTTGGAGTAAGTTTAGAAAATGCATACCCCAACTGGCTTAATTTATGAAATGGAATGCTATGACCACTATTTATGAACTTTAAACATTTATGCCTATTTCTATTGAACAAATTCACATTTTGCCTCATTCTTCTCTCAGTTCTAACAAAATCTTTTTTCTGAATGCATTCACCATCTAGACTTTCAGCCTCCATGTTTTCATTGTTATCATCATCATTATCATTGCTGAATATTTGGTGAACAGAAAGCTCAACAGTTTGTTTTTTCTTTCCTCCTAAATCTGTATTTTCAATAGGAAAATGACTATCAGACTCTTCATTGTGATCAATGTTAATATTGTCTGATGGGGTTTCTATCTTTATTTTGACATTTCCCTCATCTGATTCTTTCAACAAACTATCATCAACAGACTGTGGTTCAACTTGTGGTATATCCTCATGATCTGCTCTATCTGAAATAATTTCAGATCTCATCTTTCTGTGTTTCATATATACTTCCAGAATTGGTGCCATATTTGGAATCTTTGAATCTCTGTCAATTTCAATATCTTGCTTTGTTGGACCCAGCTTAGAAAACGCATACCCCAACTGGCTTAATTTAGAAGTTGGAATGCTATGACCACTATTTATGAACTTTAAACATTTAAACCTTTTTCTATTGAACAACTTTAGCTTATGCTTCATTCTTTTCTTCATTTTTTTCTCTGCACCAATTTCTTTTTTCTGAGTGCATTCACCATCTAGACTTTCATCCTCTTTGTCTTCATTGTTATCATCATCTTCATTATCATTGCTGAAAGTTTGGTGAACAGAAGGTTCAACAGTTTGTTTTTCCTTTCCTGTTAACTTTGTATTTTCACTAGGAGAATGACTATCAGACTCTTGTTTGTCATCAACTAGGCATCTATTACTTGTTAAAGTTGATGTATCACTCAGAGATTTATCTTTCATTTGCTCCTGTGTGTGTTCTTCAAATGCTCTAAGGATTTCTGCAAGTTTTGGATACTTTTTTGAACACTTTTTGATTTCAATTTTTTGCTTTACTGGGGGCAACTTTGAAAAGCTACTCCTAAAAGGCTTTAACATCGTTGTTGGTATACATTTACTTCCCTTTTGTCTAATTAATCGTAAAATATAGAACTTCCTTTTTTTGTATTCTCCAACTTCTTCTCTTTTAGTTCTCGGAGGGCATTCATCATCTGCATGTCTAGGTTTGACAATTATGTCCATTAAAGGAACAACACATTCAGTATTAATTTTACTATCATCTTCATTGTCAGATGGGGATTCCAATTTCACATTAGTTTTTACATTTCTCTTCTCCAGTCCTAAAGTGTCTCTGTCACACTCATCAGCAAGAACAACTTTATTGTTGTGTGTTGGTTCCCTCTTGGTTTTGAAAGTCTTCCTCTTCAGTTCTACTGGCAGGCTACCATTGCCAACCTCCCCGTCAGCAACTGATATATCATCTTCCTTGAAAATTAAGCCCATCAAAGGAACAACATTCTCAGTATTGATGTTACTATTAATGTTACTATTACCTCCATTGGCAGGGGCTGGATTGAATCCAATGTTAGTCTTGATATCCCTCTCCTGCAGTTCTAAAGTGTCACTGTCGCAATTATTGCCAGGGACAGGAACGTCTTCAGCGTTGAGTATCACATCCATTAAAGGAACAACAGGTCTGGTATTTGTAGTTGACACTGATTCTTCTTGGCCAAACTTGGCAGTTTCATTACTTTCTTGTAGTTTCGTGGCCATTTTTTTCTTCCTTTTTTCTTGAACATTTTTCCCTGCTCTTACCCCTCTTTTTGTTTTTCCAGATATATCCTGCTTCTTCATTACATTTAAAGCTTGGCACTCTTGGTCAAAGTTGGCAGTTTCATTATATCCCTTCAGTTTCTTTGAAAGGCTTTCCTCCTTCATCCCAAGCCCTTTTCTTTTTCTATTTGAAATACTTTCCTCAGATTGGTCCAGTTGTTGTAATTTGATCAAATGTGATTCAAGTTCAGTCATTTCTTGAATTGATACAAGCTCAATGGCTTTTTTCTGTTCAAGTGGGCCCAGATCTTTAAACATTTTTTTCAATATGGTATCATTTGTGAAGTCTTCCAAAGCAGTAGTGATTTTAGTTACATACCTATTAAATGCCCTCAATGCAATTTTGGGATTTGCTTTCTGCATATCCATGGCTTTAGTTAAAACAGTCAAAAGTTTTGTATTTTGGTGACTTGAAGCTTGCTTTATCTCACTAGCCTGGATATGGGATGCTAATTTGAAAAAAGCCTCACTCAGCTTATTGAACACATTGTCCCCTCCACCTGATCTAAGGAACTCATATTTCACTTGCTGAAAGGTGTCATAATGTTTTCTTTGTTCCTTCAAGAATGCTATTTGTGATTTTGTTTCCATAGCTTCTGCCCTTGAAGTTACCATGCCTGGTTTAACTTGTCCTGGGAACCTATTTCCATCTTTGGGACCCATTGGTCCTTGTTGCATAGATTTACTTTGTTCATTTATATTCAAAAGAGGTCTAATTTGTTGTGAAGCCATTTGCTTATTAGGTATCAATCTGCCTCGTAAATTAACTGGTCCAGAGGGTCTCATTGTTCCAGGGGGTCCCATTGATCTAGGGGGTCTCATTGTTCCAGGGGGTCCCATTGATCCAGGGGGTCCTATTGGTCCAGAGGGTCCCATTGATCCAGGGGGTCCCATTGGTCCAGAGGGTCCCATTGATCCAGGGGGTGCCATTGGTCCAGAGGGTCCCATTGGTCCAGGGGGTCTCATGGGTCCAGGGGGTCTCATGGGTCCTGAGGGTCCCATTGTTCCAAGGGGTCCCATTGGTCCAAAAGGTCTATTCTGACTTTGATGTGTCATCTGTCTAAATGGCATCATTTGACATTGAGGAGACATTTGTGGATTTGCCATCATTTGATTTTGTGGCCACATTGGCCTTTGTACTATCATTTGACCTTGCTCATTCCTATTGTGTTGTCCCATTATCATCATTTGACTTTGTGATACCATTTGTCTGTGTGGCATTACATTAGTGTATTGAACTTGTTGACTATTCTGAACCGGGGGCATAACATTCTGGCTGTTTGGTAAGACCTTGGCATCTGATACATCCTGGTCAGGTGGCCCATCTTTAACATTGAATACCTGAAGTACATTATGAGTAACATTCAAACTCTTAACATTCTTTGGCTTGCGGGTTGAATCCTTTTGCTGAATCTGATTGACTGGATTGATAGCAGGTTCTGTTTGTTTCTCTCGATCTGTGCCTGGAATCTTTTCACGCCTGTCTTTACCAGTTGATGTCACCCTTTCTCCTTTTGTGTTCACACCAAACCATTTCAGCAGGTTTGATATGTTTGTCTCAGTTATCAAACTTGTATCTGCATTCTCCACCCTCGCAGGTTTTGACTTTTCCTTGCGAGGACTTTGTTTTTCTGTAACCCCAGCAGGCTTTGGCATGTAGAACTTTACTTTGGGGACATCATTTTCTGACTGTTGTTGGTGACTACCTATATCTGGACTTTTAGATCTTTCTGTTCTCTCTTTACTATGTTCTCCGCTATATCTTGTATCACCATCTCCTCTCCTAATTTCACCATCTGCTCTATCTCTACTATGCTCTCTACTATACCTTCTATCTGATCTAAAATCACTATCTATTCTAATCTCACCATCTTCCAATTCACTATCATTATACTTTCTACTGCTACTAACCTTACCTAACTGTACAGTGGATACATGTTTTTCTTTACCCCATAAGGATTTAGAATCATAGACCTTTGATCTTGGATCTGTCTGTTTAGGGTGTATTGACTCAATAGATACTGGGGGGAATAATGGATACTTTGAGGTGGAACTCTCAGATTGTCTACTACTAGTTCTTTGATAATGTTTATTTAAATGTCTTAGTTGCTTGGTCAGCTTATATACAAGTACTGATGTAGCCTTTTCTCGTTTCCTTGAGCACTTCATAGTTAAAATGTCTTTCAGAATATATGTGTATTTTCCCCAAGGTTCTGTGTCTCCAGTGATCTGGAAATACATCAGACAGAGTACAGTGCCAGACAAAGCTAATATTATGTTTGTTTCCCATGCAACTCCACAGATAAGAAATTACAAAGTATTCTTTCTATGTAATTTAATCAATTATTACACATAATGTTTAAGGATTTTTGAGTAATTTGGATTTTGTGTTTTTCAAGTGGAACATACTTTAAGCAGAAGCAATTCACAATTTGCAGGACAATATGGTCATTGCATAAGAGGGAATGGATCAGTTAGTTATAAAATTATTCCTTCAATATTCTGTACTTTATTGCTCGTTCACAGTCAAACGTTCGACCATATTTCCACTGTCAATCTGAATATGGTCTGCATTAATTTTTTAAAAGCGAATAAACAATTGTGAATGATGTTACTAAACAGGTCAAATGAACTTCTTTTGAATAATTTAGCGAATCTTTTGTATTTTAAGGAAAGGTAAGATCTGTGTACAAGACATATTTTAAGAAGTGGTTAAACAAACATAATGGCTTGTGTGCTGCTTTGCAGTGTATTATGTCAACGTATTTCCAGATGCACTGAAACTTCTTTTTATTTGAGCTATATGTGCACATGTTTGGTAAATGTATGGTATATTGTTAAACTGATTCTTTGAAAACAAAGCAAACATAATGTGACTTTCAGTAAATGTGCCCTACTAGATTTCAAAATTGTGGGATGGATCAAAGGCTATATACAAAAATTCATTTTAAATTCATATAAAATGCCATTATTTCTCCTTACCTTTGGGTCTTGCTTGCTTACACGTATGATATTTGTTGGCACTGGGTCAATGGTGGATTGTTGGTCAGAGTCTTTCCCTCCAGAAGCCTGTAATAAAAAGAGCACGCAATCATTTACACGTATAATATTTGTTGGCACTGGGTCAATGGTGGATTGTTGGTCAGAGCCTTTCGATCCAGAAGCCAGTAATAAAAAGAGTATGTAATCGCTGAGTGAAGAGCAGATGCTTAGCTCAAAGTGGCCTGGATCCCAATATAGGTATAGACATTTCAAATGGAAAGCAATCTTAACAACTTTTGATGGTATGAAAATAAACTGTTTATGTTTAATGTGTAATTTCTTGAACCAGCTTTAAAATATCAGAGATTTTACCTACATATACAGACAAAATACACAACTTTTCACCATTTTAGAATTTTGAAATGTTCAGTATGGAAGTTCCATATATAAATAAAAAAATAGGACCCACGGTCCTGTGCTCACACAGTTTGGAACCTTCAGAGGAATGTATATCCAGACTTTCAAACAAAAATATTGATTTGGATTTGTAGTCTTGAACTTTGAGAAACTTAGACAGCACAGTTGTGTGACCTAGTTTTATGACCTTTGACCTTGAAAATTTTACTTATTTAGAGCTCAGTAAGGTATTTTGTGATTAAGCTGACCAAAATTTACATCCAAAAATCAATTTGAAAATCAACTTTTTTGACCCTTTAAAGGTCACTGAAGGTCAAGTAAAGGTCAAATCCTAAAACTAATGTCAGATTTGAACTCCTGGTTACTTGTAGATGATTTTCAAAAAAAATTTCGTCAAATTGAAGCAAGTTGAAAAATAAACTATTTTTACTGTTTTTTGACGTCAAATATCTCAAAAACTGTCAAAATTTGATGCTGACATATATTGAGCAATATGTAGGGAATGCTTAAATCTAGTTATGATGTAATTCATTGCAAGAAATGATCAAGTATAAGGCAAACTTTGAGAAACTTGTCAATCACAAAACCTGCCATTGACTTTATACATAAGAAAGTTTCCTGAAAATGACCAAGTCCTACTTTTTGTCAAATTTTATAGAGTAAACACCAAAAACTGTATTTCCAAGAGCTTTGAAATCTTCAGAGGACATAAGTTGCATATACAGCAACTACTACAAGTTATTTGAAAGTTCTACTTCAACAAAGCATCTAGTATTTACAGAAAACTTGACTTTTTGACGTCAAAATCAGCAATTTCTCGGAAACCGGGCGAACTTGGGAAATGGCGATGATAGGTCAAATAGGCATCATGGATATGCATAAAACGACTGTGGATATGACTCAATCCGAATAGCAGTTTTAATTTGTGCGGCCAATGTTGACGGACGGACCAACGGACGGACGGACGGACCAACCAACGGACGCCTGGTCGATCCCATAGGCTCACTGTGTGAACCAAAAAGGACTCGATGATAAAGGTCGAACTCTGAAATATCTTGAAAATGCGTGGCACAATTAAAAGGAATTGAGTACTCGACAATGAACATGTCAAAGGATATTCAAAATAAATGTTGGATTTGTTTTTTGTACATTGACAAATTGGTTTATTCAAGCATTTTAGGGAGGCTCCAGTAACATTATTTATCTAAGCACATAAATACAGCTATATGAAAGGCAAATGTATTATATCTGAGCATACCATATTCTCTTAAATGAGCGCACAGTGCAATTTCCAAATTCAAAGAACAGGTCCATTTAACAGACTGTTGGTCCACTTAGACTTTTTCCAAAAAACTCATTCTTCCATTTACTTTTAAAACCGATTGCAAATTGTAGATAAACCTTTTTTCTTGAAATGTGCAATTTCAAAAAGTGGCATTAGTTTTCAGATTCTTTGAAAAATTGGCAGTAAGAACCCCTATCACAAGACTGTCTGAATATGGGTACACACTATGTTTACCCTAAGAATAATATTAAAATTTATCATTATATAGAATTTATTATATGGAACATATAGCATACAAGCATTCGGAGTAGAACATTAACAAAATCCAGCTATATATGAAGTTTACTAATGCAAATCTGGAAAACATTGTCATTTTTGTTCACTTTGTTATCAAGTTTTAGCATCATGCGCATTCCCTTTCATTGAAAATTTAACCATCAGCCCAAACTCCCACAAAAAAGATATTGAAACTGTATAATGCAGAGACTGTGAGGTAGCTTCCCTGCAAATATCATTGTTGTGGGAGTGTGGGCTCACCACTAAAACTTAAATTTTGTGATGAAAATAAGGCTGACTGGTTTATGTTTTCAATATGGCTGCTAACCTGGGCATAAATGTACACTACATAACTACATGTACAGATTAGGCCATTCAAAATTAATTATATGTTGGCATTCTGATGAAGGGCCTTATATTAAAAACTACAAAACCTTTATTTATTTAAAGTTTTTTTTATATTATTTGATAGTGAAAATACAATAACACACTGTGGGAAGGCAAGTAACACACCTCTTGATTCAGATGACCTTGTTAATTAAGACAATACTGAAGCCTATATACACATAGTTTTTAATCAATCTTGGAACTCATTTCACTACAATATAATCCAAGATCACAATTCCCTTTGTCATTTATATGCATTACAAGTACAGCGTACATGGGAACATTTTGTTTTTTCTGAAAACATAGAATTTAGTGACATTAATTATAAAAACATCTTTGAATGGCCTAAGTGTTTTTCTAAATCGTGTATAAGTAGAGAATTTTAAGCAATCCTTTGAGTGTCATGCCATTTATACATGATGCTGCCTTATATTTTATGATATATATTGAAAGAGGATTTCTCTGAATTATTTGTGTTTCAAATATGGGAACTGCAAACCGGCAAATAACTATAAATTAAGTGTCCATATAGACATTTAATTTCAAATTCCAAAGCAAATGCCAATGGGCATTTATTAAAAGTAACCCTATAACTATTTAGAATATGGCAAACATGTTTAGAAAACTGGTGAGATGCAATTGAAATAAGAAAATCCATTCTCATGGAAGTGCCCTTGTGTGCATTTAATTGCAGTCATTTTATCCTAATTGCCCATGGGCATTAAAACAATAATCAGTAATCACATCCCAACTCTTAAAACATGCTTAAGATACTGTTGGAGTCTCAAAAGGCAACAAGAACATTCATTTTTGAAACAGGAAAATTTAGTCCCCCTAAAAATGCCCATATGGGGATTTATTCTCAAGATTTTCTTGTAATTGCCCGTGAGAATTTATTAAGAATATTTTTATTTCCATTCACATGTCTTATTATCAGTCACAATGAAAATAAAGCCAATAGCTTTCATTTCTTGTATTAGAAAATGGCAAAATTTTGACAAAAATAGCATCTCTCAAAGTTGACCTTTAAACCACCCTAATGTCAAGGTCAAATGTCAAAATTCTCAGAAATCACATTTTAAGTAATAAGTCATACTTCCTCTTCAATTCCATGTCAATATATACTTGTTTTGTAGGGGGGCTAAAAGAGGGGTTTACCGCCACCTGTCCTTTATAAAGTGTCAGATATCAAAAATTGAGAAAAAAAATATTCCGAAAAAAAAAATTTTCATTAGTTTTTCCACTAAGGTTTACATTCTCTTCAGCTACTGTATTTCTTTCTTCGCATTAAATATAATCATCAATCAATATTTTGTTTTTCTTATGTTCAAAATCTGTGTTTTTGACAACATATTCAACATAAAGGTTGCATGTGTGCTCATTGAAATTGTGAGCTCATTAGAGAGAATACTGTAGTTTGTTTTCTCAGAAATTTGCACAAACCTGCAGCTCCTTTGCTATCTTCAACATGGCTGTACCCATAACATGGGACAGGTCTTCACCCTGTAGGGGTTGGCTAACTAAAGACTTCATTGTATCATCAATGATACGTTTCACTGAAGAGGGCACATTTGGGTTCTCTGTCTCCTTATGCTGCTTCACAGACTTCTCAATTTGGCGCAATTTAGACATTTGGGCCTCATTTAATCCCATCTGTATGTTTGCTTGACTCTTGGGGGGACGCATGGACTGCTCGAGGGTTTTACATTCACCTAAGAAGTCCGCATTTTGACTTTGGGCTGACCTTTTAGCACTTGGTTCATCATAATCCAGAATTGGATCAATTACACGTTTTCTAGGTGGCCTGAAACAGTGTAAAGCTTGTAGGGTTATCAGGGTTATCAGTCAAACAACTTTACAAATGGATAAATGAACATATGGATGAATGGACAGCTTCTCAATATTCATACTACTAGAGTTTCAATGGGATGATAAGTTATTACCATAGACTGGAACTATAGAAACCTACCAAGCATCTCCAGTTCTATCCCTTATAATAGCTCCTCCAACCCTTGGGCTCACTATGTTATCATTTTGCCTTGAAGGTCCATCTCTCTCTCGGGCTGAATGGGATCTCTCTCTGTCTCGAGATGGTTGGGATCTCTCTCTGTCTCGTGATGACTGGGACCTCTCTCTATCTCGTGATGACAGGGACCTCTCTCTGTCCCGAGATGATTGGGATTGATCTCTATCACGAGATAAGCTTGGAATATTTGCATCATGAGAAGACCTTGACCTTTCTCGCTCCCGAGATGGCATAACATGTTCAGATTTACGTCTACCATTGCCAACAGGGTCATCCAACAAGTATGTGCTAAAACAGAATGAGAAAATTAGGACTATTTCCTTCTCATCATGAAAAAACTATACAATTCATGATAATAAATTCCTTTCAGAGAATGGCATTCATCATATATTTAGTAAGTATTGTTACATGTTGTGGAAGCAGAATCATCAATATATACCTATTTTATCAAGTTTACGATCTGAATTTTACAAGTATATGTACTGATTAAAAGCTGTATAGAGGACCTATACAGGATTATTTAACATTAAATCAGTTGGTCTTGGGACTTTGAAAAGTGTTCCACTCCATATGATGGAGTATACTTTTTTGAATATAACCAGAACAACGGCAACGCCAAAGCGTAGCGAATCCCATCGAACAGAAATGGCTGGCATTTTTACAAACAAAATATATAGCAAATATCATAAAACAACACACCACAAAGGCCACCATTTTCAAAATGGTTGCTCACTAGCCAAGTTGTCATCAGAAGAAATAATATGCTTTTAAGAAGCCACCTATAAAATTTTTGAAAAATCGCACACATGTACTTGTAAAATAACACACTATCCGAAGTGTCACGAGACAGTGTGCAAGGCTCATGAGTATTCACAAATCAAATATGAACAAAATCGCTTCACTACTTTTCAAGTTATAGTAAATAAAGTTAAAATGGGGCCATTTTTAAAAATGGCCACCTTCTACCAAAAGTGTCATTAGACAGTGTGCCATGCTTTTAGTATTCACATACCAAATATAAACAAAATCGCTCCACTACTTTTCGAGTTATAGTAAAATACGTTAAAATGGCGGCCATTTTTCAAAATGGCCACCTTCTACCAAAAGTGTCTTTAGACAGTGTGCCATGCTTATAGTATTCACATACCAAATATGAACAAAATCGCGTCACTACTTTTCGAGTTATAGTAAAATATGTTAAAATGGCGGCCATTTTTCAAATTTTTTTCAAAATGGCCACCTTCTACCAAAACTATCATAGGACAGTGTGCCATGCTTATAGTATTCACATACCAAATATGAACAAAATCGCTCTACTACTTTTCGAGTTACAGCAAAAATCGTAAAATAACGAGAAAAGGCCGCCGTTTTTCAAGATGGCTGCCATGTGCTTTTTTAATATCTACATTAGTAGCTTTATTAATGTCCTTTATAATTTTTTTACATTTAAAACATATTGCTATTACAGTTTTACATATTGCACCTAAATTACTGTAAAATCGGCACTAAAATGGCCGCCATTTTGAAATGAGCAGCCATTTTGAAAATCAGCTTTCAAGCAGAACTTCTACCCCCATAGGGTATATGTGTACAAAAAAATATGAATAAAATCGGGCCAACGGTATTTGAGTTATTGCCCGGACGGACGGACGGACGTACGGACGGACGGACAGACGGACGCATTCCCTATATCCCTCCGAACTTCGTTCGATGGGATAATTAGACAAGATCAGTGCTTTTTAAAACCAGCTATTATAAGTTCTGTATGCAATAAGATTATATGTAAATTAAAGCCTTACCCAGGTAGTCCCTTTTCTCTATTACTAGGCTGTTCTGCAGGGTTAGGGAGAGCTGTGGAGAATGTTTCACGTTCAACATGGTCCAGTTCATCTACAGGTCTCAAGTCTTGATCATATAGGTATGCCTGGTAGCGCTTCTCCAAGTCATCTATGTATCTAGTACACAGAGAATAGTCATTAGAACAATCATTAAGCCATTGCATTTCAAGGTTCAGGAATAGAAAGTTTTTATTAAAAGCTATTTGGTGAAACGGCCTAAATCTTAAATAATCCTGACCTTGGAGTTTCCCTGCCAGATAACAAAGGCATTAAATCAAAGAGATATTTGACTGATAAAGCTACAATCAATTTCAAAATCAAAGATTGATCATAGCTAGGCAGAGTATTCCAGTGCGTGAATTAAGGATTTTTTAACCTAGACATTTTGGCAGGCCAGCCAGATTTAAACCATCCATATCATTTTTTCTCAGGCCAATTTTTTTTTCATTTACCATATTTCTCCACAACCACTCTTAAATGAGATTTAGTTTAGTACAATATTAACAAAGATCATCAGGGATAACTGGTAGGGGGATTTCAACCTATGCTTGGATCAGGGATATGGGGATTTTAAGTATATTGATGTATAAATGGTGTCCAAATGCAAAATAGAGATTGTAGATACTTTGTAGCTGCTGGAAGATTTGCACATGATCTGGTCATACATGAGATATAGCCTTGAATGTTCACTAAACAATCTCTACAAGTAGCAAGACTATTTCTGCAGAATGATGGTTTAGGGAGGACTATAATATTAGAAACATCCCTGAAAATTTCAAATGCATCCGTCAAACGGTTTGGCTGGAAACCTGTAGACAAGCCTTAACAGACATGATTTAGGACGTAATATCAAAAATGGCCACCTTAACTTTTACCCAGAATGCCAAAAAACGAATCAGTTTCAAACGGTTTGGCTGGAAACTGTAGACAAGCCTCGACAGACAAGATTTTAGGACGGAAAATCCAAAATGGCCACCTTAACATTTATCAGACAAGATTTTAGGACAGAAAATCCAAAATGGCCACCTTAACATTTACCCAGAATGCCGAAAAACTAATGAGTTATAAACTTTTATAGGCAGAAACATCCCTGAGAATTTCAAATGAATCCCTCAAACGGTTTGGCTGGAAACCTGTAGACAAGCCTTGACAGACAAGATTTTAGGATGAAAAATCCAAAATGGCCGTTTTAACATTTATCCAGAATGTCAAAAACTAATCAGTTCTAAATTTTCATAGGTAGAAATATCCCTGAGAATTTCAAATGAATCCCTCAAACAGTTTGGCTGGAAACCTGTAGACAAGCCTTGACAGACAAGATTTTAGGACGGAAAATCCAAAATGGCCGCCTTAACATTTACCCAGAATGCCGAAAAACTAATTAGTTCTAAACTTTCATAGGTACAAACATCCCTGAGAATTTCAAATGAATTCCTCAAACGGTTTGGCTGGAAACCTGTAGACAAGCCTTGACAGACAAGATTTTAGGACGGAAAATCCAAAATGGCCACCTTAACATTCACCAAGGATGCCGAAAAACTAATCAGTTCTAAACTTTCAGAGGTAGAAATGTCCCTGAGAATTTCAAATGAATCTCTCAAACGGTTTGGCTGGAAACCTGTAGACAAGCCTTGACAGACATGATTTTAGGACGGAAAATCAAAAATGGCCACCTTAACATTTACCGAGAATGCCGAAAAACTAATCAGTTCTTAACTTTCATTAATAAGGAACATCCCTGAGAATTTCAAATGAATCCCTCAAACGGTTTGGCTGGAAACCTGTAGACAAGCCTTGACAGACAAGATTTAATTAGGACAGAAAATCCAAAATGGCCGCCTTAACATTTACCGAGAATGCCGAAAAACTAATCAGTTCTAAACTTTCATTAATAAGAAACATCCCTGAGAATTTCAAATGAATCCCTCAAACGGTTTGGCTGGAAACCTGTAGACAAGCCTTGACAGACAAGATTTAATTAGGACAGAAAATCCAAAATGGCCACCTTAACATTTACCGAGAATGCCGAAAAACTAATCAGTTCTAAACTTTCATTAATAAGAAACATCCCTGAGAATTTCAAATGAATACCTCAAACGGTTTGGCTGGAAACCTGTAGACAAGCCTTGACAGACGAGATTTAATTAGGACAGAAAATCCAAAATGGCCACCTTAACATTTACCCGGAATGCCGAAAAACTGATCAGTTCTAAACTTTCATAGGTATAAACATCCCTGAGAATTTCAAATGAATCCCTCAAACGGTTTGGCTGGAAACCTGTAGACAAGATTATTCGGGACGCCCGCCGCCCGCCCAACTGCCCGCCTGCCCGGCAAACTGATTACAATATAGCACCTTAGGGTGCGATAAAAATGATACAGTTGTCTGATGACAGTTTCACTTTTCAAAATCATATTCAGAAATACGTCAATTAAAAACGAATATAAAGCATCTGCCGCGAATGTGATCGGCATTTCACATAGTCTGCATAGTGTACTATCACCAATTCGTTTACCTTGTGATATCGGAGTCCCAAAATACTTTCAACATGCTGACTTTTTCGACTTAGATGCCGGCTCGATTTTTCAATTTCTTTCCTGCATCCGGCATACTGATAATGCACTCGATTTGCAAACGACGATGAAGAAATGAGTCATTCATAGCCAATCAAAATCACCGTAATTTCAACAAACAACAACAGCCAATCGAAAGTCACGTTATATGTTGGGCTTCGGTACGAAAACAAAAATATTTTGAAATTTTTTTCAAAATTCAACAAAAGTCATGGATAAGCAGAAAACGGGGGAATTCGGTCACAAAATTTTTCACTAAAATTGGTCGTTTTTGAACAATTTTTATCCAATTTACACAACAATTGTGTAGAAATGATCTCTGCCATCTAATTTTACTAAGATAGGCATCTAAAATTGTATAGGTATGTAGTAAAATGTCAAAAGGTAGCAAAAATGAAAAATTCTCTGGTTTCAACTGATTTTAGAGCCTGGAATTCAAGAGGTTAAGATATTTGTACATTATAATGCATAACACTCATATTTTACCTTGATTCATAGCGTTCATTGAACTCTTTGGCTGTAAGACTTTCTTTATCAGTAGAGTACCTGTGGTAACGATCCTCCAGCTCAGTATGGTCCCGAATAGCCTGCAAAAAATAAATAATGGTAACTGGATAAATATCGCCTTCATTATAATCGCTGGTGGTCCACTCGATTACGCTGGTTACCGAAACGATTCGTTTTGGTAACAAAATGTCGGAACATCGAAGGTATGATTTTTCTTTTTTCCTTATTTCACACGTTGTAGGCAGAATTCCCACAACATTTTTAACACAAACGTGTATCAGTATCATATGTTTAAGAAAATGTACATATTTGCGAACAAATAGTTCAGAAGACAACAGAATCGTTGATTTAATTCCTCACTTAAGTTACATAAATGGTTTTTCGAAAAACAGTTAAGATCTGCACTTTTAACCCAAACCGTTTATGTAACTTAAGTGAGGAATTAAATCGAAGATTCTGTTGTCTTCTGAGCTATTTTTCGCAAACATGTACATTTTCTAAAACATATGATGCTGATACACGTTTGTGAGAAAAATCGTCGTTGGGATTCTGCCTACAACGCATGAAATAAGGAAAAAAGAAAAATCGTACCTTCGACGTTCCGACATTTTGTTACTAAAACGAACCGTTTCGGTAACCAGCATAATCGAGCGGATCACCAGTGATAATTATGTATATCACCATCCTTAAATGTCCAAAACAGAAATATGATAGGTAAGGTCTTGTAAAATGTGAGACCAAAACCATTACAAAATGGTTCTGGATTTTATTGATATGTGAAGGATGTAGATCTGTGTTTGTGAGTTGTGTCAAAAGATGGATAGAGACAACCTGGAAATGCAATTCCATAACTAAGGAAACAAGGTACCTGACACAAAGAACAATGTATCATTAATGTATAGTTCCAACCATTTTATTATTCCATGTATGATTGTATGATTATTTGACAGTATTTATAAACTAGAATCTTCTGTATTGGTCAGAGGCCAGTATGACTAATTGGGAATCAGGGTATCCTGTCAATTACATCACTGAAATAGATATGATCTGTTATAAATCTAACAATGAGAATTACCTTGTACTGAGTGACGATCTCTTCTTGTTTCAACTTTGGGTATTTCCTATCAAAGTCTCTCGCTGTCATAGTGTTCTGGTCATCCTTCAAATGTTTGTATTTCATAAATGTATCCCTTGTTCGTTCATTTCTTTTATATCGCCTTTTTAGGTCATCGACGTATGCATGTGTGTATTTTTCGAAGAATTTCCCAGCAGTTAAACTATTGTAATCCTTCTCATATGCATTGTAAAGTGAAATCAAATCCATAACATATTCAAAAGGTTCAAACTTATGTCTTTGGTACAATGCGTACATATCCATACTTTTATTGTGCTGGCCCAAGCTCTGCCTGGGGGACGCCTCTGCAGCGTACTGATTGTGTTCTGATATATTTCTTGTTTGAGTTTTTGGAGACTGTTTTGTCTTAACTCTAACCCCACCACTTCCCTTGAGAGCACGTAGTCTTTCTAGCTCTACATCGGTCTCATCTTGATAAAAAGCTTTGTTACTGCGATTATTTGGGCCTGCAGAGGGGCCTAGACGGGGATCATTCTGATTTTGGTGTTGGTAAGATCCCTGGCCATCCCTTGGATATGAATTTCCTGATACTGGTCTATTTTGTTGTGTGTTTTGGTACTGGCCATGCTGGCCCTGTGTACTCTGATAACCTTGGTCTTGATTCTGTATTCTATCACCGCCCTGGTAAATATTTCCAGTATTAGATGGTCTACTACCACTGTTATAACTACCAGTGTTTTGTGCCATGTTATCATAGCTACTTTGTCCTTGGTTGCTATAGCTACCTTGTCCTTGGTTGCCATAGTTACCTTGTCCTTGGTTGCCAAAGCTACCATGTCCTTGGTTGTCAAAGCTACCTTTTGTTTGACTCCCATAGCTATTTTGTGCTTGGTTGTCATAGCTTACTTGTGTTTGGTTTCCATAATTATTGGGGGCTTGGTTGCCATGGGTACCTTGTCCTTGGTATCCATTGCTACCTTGTGCTTGGTTGCCATAACTACTTTGGGCTTGGTTGGCATAGCTTCCTTGTGCTTGGTCACCAAAATTATTCTGTGCTTGATAGCTGTTTTGGTTCTGGTTACTATAGGGATTCTGTTGCCTATACATGGTCTTGTTTTAATAGTACTTCGTCTTCAGAATCTGAAACAAATTACAATACTTCATGAAATAAAAAGGTCAGAAGAATTCAAATTAGAGTTACATAATTCAGTGGCAAAAGGGTGTAGTGACCTAAAAAGATTATTTCTAGTGATTTGAGGACTCTTCTTGAGAGGCTTAGAATCCAAGATTACAAGTCCAGCTATTTGTAAGATGGACCTTCATTTAAATTGCTTATAATGAAATCTTGATGAAGTTATATGTTTCCCACTCTAGCTTATTTATAGAATTGTAAGTGGTTCTTCAATGGTTTACAGATCCCTAGCCTGCTAATCTTTTCCCTTGGATATCAGTATAAAAATGAGTATTAGACAGGTTCCAATTTCAGAATATCTCAAGGGAAAGACTTTTTGAGGCATTTTTTAGAAAAAGCAACAGACCTATTTTTTCTGGATCAGTTTTTCATGCTGATAAAGATATTAAAAGATGACAGCTCAGCGGGGTGGTCACGACACTGCATTTTAGCATTTTTACCCCCCTAGGAAATTATCTTAGGGGGTACTATAATATTAGTTCATAACTCAAAGGATATATAAACTATTGTTCTGAGTTCTACAGCATACATTGTTAGTACAGAGATGAATAGTATCCTAAAGTTATAGGTTGATATCTTTGTTGGTTTCGGAAAAATACAATTAATTAGAAAAAATATGCAATTTTTGTCATTTTTTTCTCGCTTATTTTATATTTGTAGCTTCGAGCAAAATATGATAACTTTAACAGCTCAAAGTAGTATTCTAACAACATTCCCAAGCTATGTTTGATATTGTAATACATCTATTACAGTGATGAAGTACTATTTTGTACTTTTAATATGACTTTATAATGCCCTACCCCTGGTAAATAGAAGAAAGTTGGTGTGGTTTTCTTCTGGTTTTAACATTTTATTGACTTCTTAGTTGAAGATACAATCAATTCTGTCAGTTAACCATGAGTAACTTTACAATGGTTAACTATTCCCATGAATAGAGGGTTGGGACCTCAAAAATACCAGAACTGTTAAGTGGCATCCTTGGGCATCCCTCTTCAGAGCATTTTCCTTATACTTCGATGAAATCTGCAGGGGATACTATAAGACACCTATATATCTAAGATACTAATGAAGATACTGAATTCAAATTTTCAGGATTTGGTCCTGGTATGATAGGTAATCTGTATGACAAAAATGACAAAAAGAAAAAACTCTGTTGCCATAGTAACAAGAATACCACACTATTTGTTTCCTAAGACATGTGTTTTAAGAGGTTTTGTCATTCTCTTCATATTTTTAATTCTAAATATGTCTACAATGTGGGATGATTAGAATTATGGTAAAGTAATCTTTTCTATTGTTTTATTGTTCTCTAAAACAGAAGTTGCTAAGGCACATAGATATATAGATCATAGAAAAAATGCTGGGATGATCGCTCTATATGTCAGGAAATTAAAACGGAAACTGAAAAATGAGTTTCTTCCCACTGAATAGCAATTAATTTGGTAGACCATGGCTGACACACACAAGAGAAAACGTTTATCAGTTCTATGTCATTGTGTTGTTATTTTCTATTTATCGTGGTCTGGGACTTATAACATCTAATGCCGAGTCTTCTCAAACTGCAAAGGAAGGCAAGATTTTAATAATGAACATTCATATATCTCAACAAATATGGCCTAAGACAATGATGAGGAAACTCTGAGGGAAAATTAGACGAAACATTAATGTGAGTGGTCCAAAAATAACACTAACATGTTTTGGAAAAGTTATGCTCTCGGGTGAATCAATGCTCATTTAAGGATAGTCTGAATCAGGTTAATTTTTTTAACTTAATTGTACCCCTCCCCGAAACCCCCAAATTTTGACGAAATTGTCGAAAAGTGGCAAACAACATTCATTAAAGTTCAATATGGCTATTTCGCTTCTATGTCATAAAGATATGATATGATCTCAGGTCAATCAATAAATTTCACAAGTGACACTCTATCTTATGAAGAAAATACTATCGTATATTTGAAGACATGTCAAAAATTTGGTGGAAATAAATAAAATCCTGATTTGACCTGCAAATGTTCAGGTAAGTTATCACAAACAATTTCAGACAGTTATATCTTTGATTATGACTATTTCCTAACCATGAAGACAGGGATAATAAAGTCAATCCGACTCGGAGATATTTCACTAGCAATCAACCCATCAATATATTTTTTCAAAGTTGTTGACCTCATTTTCACCAAAAATGCAATCATTTTAACAATGTTTAATGCATTACTATTCTTTATTTTAATATATCAAATAGCTCTTGAAATGAAAACTGAATTCCCCTAAGATTAGTGTTCCCATGCTATCCATTGGTTTCAGTTCATTTTGGTCATCCAAATTCAGTGTCTTTAAAGTCCCTGGAGCAATCCACTTTTCCTCTTAGGAAATAGAACATGTCTCAAAGCATATTCTAATTATGCATTCAACAATATAATTAAAGGTTGCATCTTTGGTAAAAACTAGGTTATCATTTTTAGTAAAAAGTATGTTGATTGGGCCATTCCCTTTAATATCACTTAGGTCTGATTAATCATTATATTTACTTTTCTTGAAAATAATAAATAGATCTAAAAGATATACCTATGTTCATGGCCAGAAAATATTCATAATTCAAGTTGTTTGCAATAACCTACATGCTCCTTTATAACATTATTATGTAAATACTATCAAATGCTTTAGTCATGACAGTTGAAGTAAACTGAAGTCTTGGTATTTAAATGCAGAATCAGATCTATGTGGAGAACTAACAGTTTTACAGAACTTTTGCCATGTTTTGCACATTGTAAATGACCCTTCTGAATGGGTTGTAAAGGTATACACCAGGAGGTATATATGGCTCAAATGACTCGTGCCCTAGTACATGGGGCACTGTAGTACATTACTTGTGCATGATGACCACCATAGTCTAGTTGCTCAAATGAGATCAATTGATGATTATAATGTTTAGACTGTATGCCAACCTCTCTAGTATGTGATTACACTAGATTTCATTATGATACATGTACTAAATTGAAAACTTACATATAAAATATCTTAAGTCCTATATTCTAGTAATAAATGAATTAGAATGTCACCTAACATTTGATGATGGCATGAATTTATTGATTTGGTGTCTATAAATACACGTTTCTAACTTAATGCTGCAAAATGATTAAATTCACCACATCCACTTTCTTCAATTTTCCAGGGGTAGGGCACTATAAAGTCATATTAAAATTACAAAATAGTACTTCATAACTAAAATAGATGTATTACAATACCCCATATAGCCTGGAAATGCTTTTAGAATACTACTATGAGCTGTTAAAGCTGTCATATTTTGCTTGAAGCTACAAATATAAAATTGGCAAGACAAAAATTACGTATCTTTTTCCTGTTTATTGTATTTTTCTGAGACCAATAAGGGTATCAACCTATAACTTTAGGATAGTATTCATATTTGTACTAGCAATGTATGGTGTACAACACAGAACAATAGCTCATATATCCTTTGAGTTATGAACTAGTTTCATAGTACCCCCTAGAATATTTTCCTAGGGGGGTAAACATGCCAAAATTCAGTGTCGTGACCACCCCGTAGAGCTGTCATCTTTTAATATCTTTATCAGCATGAAAAACTGATCCAGTAAAAATAGGTCTGTTGCTTTTTCTAAAAAATGCCTCAAAAACTTGAATTATTAGAATTGGAACCTGTCTATATGGTCATGACTCATAATTTGGTTTGAATAGTTATCAAATTTCAGATTTCCACTGTAATAGAAATACATGTGCATACTGTCCAGATTCAAGAATTTTCTGTTATGTGTAATGTGAATCTGTGAAAATCTGAAAATTCTGTCACCCTGGACTGTATTTAGCCATTTAAACTGTGGAGAATGTTATCCCATCAGAAGACATTGGGGCAGATTCATGGGATAACTACCACAAGAAGACACTGAAAATCAATATGATTGTAATATAGAAGCTGCAAAGAAATAATGTTTTCAATCAGGTAGCAGTTATGATACATCTTGAGGAAGCATCACCGACACATGTTATTGCCAAAGATGGTTCTGTGCGAAACAATGTAACAGCATGACGTGCTGTGTGGAAGAACAATTTCACTGCAGACAAACTAGCAGGCGGTTTTAGTTTGAAAGAGACACTCAGAAATGGTTGGCCCCAGTGCTAATATCTCTGATGTGATACAGATACAATGCGAATTATCATTATTTATGAAACACTGGACTATCAAATTATGACATCATCTGTGAGTTCATCATAAATTCTTGCAAAATGGTAGACATCATTTGTGAAATCAGTCAGGAATTAAAACTAAACTTAACAAAAGAACAACTCCTTAGTGATGTCATTAACTTCAGTTCCAGACATAAGATATCAATCTGAATCTGATCATTCTTACTTGCAATAGTGAAAAATCACAGCACAGTACCTACTTTTTAGTTTGTTTACTGTTCAGGACTGAAGATTTTCAATGCAAAATGTTCCTTTTAGATATTTAATACAGAAAAGTTACAACCAATTTGTACACTCAGTTATTGGATATTTTTCACACTTTCATTTAAAGTATGAAATTAGCCAATTTAAGAACAAGTTTATTAGTGTAATTCTTCACCTCTTCATATTGATACAAGAAACATGTACCCTGCTAAATCACCCAGATTGAATGACCAAGCAAGCAATAAATGATATTATTAAATCAATCCTATTACATTTTAACGAATAAAGTGATTCATCACATTCAGAAATTGCAATGTTAAAATTTGTGTTTTTTAATGATTATATTTTTCAGTGCTTCTAACTAAAAAGCTGAAAAACATATCTAAATGTTAAAAAGTTAAAACCATTACTTCTGAATTTTGTATTTACCTTGTCTCCAAACAGTCCTGTATGAAGCCTACAACTCAGTATACCAATGATTGTTTTATGAGGTGTTCTGGAGCTCGACTAGGGTCTAGTCAGAGCTTGTGTCAGGCTGGGCAGAGCTTAGACATGGTTGATATGTCGGATCACTGACAGTGGCTGGGTAAAACCAACCTTGTCTTTTGACCTGACACTGCTCGTGTCTGGGATTGGGGAGTCCACTGGGGAGGGTGACGGGAACACAGCAGCTCTGAACACCAATGATTGTTTTATGAGGTGTTTTGGAGTTTGACTGGGGTCTAGACATAGCTCAGAACACCAATGATTGTTTTATGAGGTGTTCTGGACCTTGACTTGGATCTAGTCATAGCTTGTGTTCCCGTGTCTGGGATTTAGGTGTCCAAGGGGAAGGTGATTTACAGGGAAAGTCAAATTGGGTAAAGGGGTAGTTTGGGAGAGTTGTCCAAGGAAAGATATGACCTATATAGACAGCTCTCCACAATTACTCCTGTAGCCAATGACCCAAACCCTGCAAGACACCTACTTCCAATGGCAGGGAAAGTTCTCCCCCCTATCCCCTGTCCATCCCCCTGACCCTCCTCCTGACCCTCCTTTAGGGGGAGGTATAGGGCGAGGGATAGGGGGAGGGACAGGGGAAGGATGGGGGGGGAGAACTTTCCCTGCCATTGGAAGAAGATGTCTTACAGGGTTTGGGTCATTGGCTACAGGAGTAATTGTGGAGAGCTGTCTATATAGATCATATCTTTCCTTGGACAACTCTCCCAAACTACCCCTTTACCCAATTTAACTCTCCCTGTAAATCACTTTTCCCTCCTCCCCTCTCCCCCTCCCCCCGTCCCTTCCCCTGTCCCTCTCCCTTTCCCTCCCCCTGACCCTCCTCTAGGGTGGGCCAGGGGAGGGCTAGGGGGGAGGGCCAGGGGAGAGGGCCAGGGGAGAGGGCCAGGGGAGAGGGCCAGGGGAGAGGGCCAGGGGAGAGGGCCAGGGGGGAGGGCCAGGGGGGAGGGACAGGGGGATGGGACAGGGGGAGGGACAGGGGGAGGGACAGGGGGAGGGACAGGGGGAGGGACAGGGGGACCGGGGGGGAGGGACCGGGGGGGAGGGACCGGGGGGAGGGACCGGGGGAGGGACCGGGGGAGGGACCGGGGGAGGGACTGGGGGAGGGTCCGGGGGGAGGGACCGGGGGGGAGGGACCGGGGGAGGGACAGGGGGAGGGACCGGGGGGAGGGACAGGGGGGAGGGACAGGGGGGAGGGACAGGGGGAGGGACAGGGGGGAGGGACAGGGGGGAGGGACAGGGGGGAGGGACAGGGGGGAGGGACAGGGGGGAGGGACAGGGGGAGGGACTGGGGGAGGGACCGGGGGAAGGACCAGGGGGAGGGACCGGGGGGAAGGACCGGGGGGGGGAGGGACAGGGTAGTCTTACCCAATGTTATCAAAGTGTGATATGTGAAACCTTTTTTAAGGACTTTTTGTTCAAAAATTTGTGAATTTATTTAAAACTAACTTTTAGAGGTCACGGGGGCTGGGCCTTGGGCTTTTTCTCTGACCTAATATTTTTGATATGCTAAAACATTGAAGTGGCCCATTAAATATGGCATCTTATTATTAAAATAGTGTGTCCTTAGTCCAATCTTTGCATTGGTGTTAAAAAGATTTTTTTTTTGAAATGCATTAAGAAATATTTGATGATTAAAAAAAAGATTTCAACTTTTTTTGAAAAATAGCTTGAAATTTGAATATTTGAGAAATGAAATGCTCACAACTTTTTTTTCTATTTTTTTTTTTCAAAAATCTGTAAAATATCTTTTTAAGTCATGACAAATAGTAAATGAAGAATGATAAAAAAATATTTTCAAATTTTAGATGAGGACTTAAAGAAAGAATCATGTTTAATGATAAAAAATGGCAAACTTAGAAATATATTATGCAAAATTAAGACTAATAGCAATCATAAGTTAGAAATCGAAAAAGGTCAACATAAAAAGAACAAGGCACAGGACGTGAACGAGATCACACCATCAAATAGGCAGACACTATGAACCAGGAAAACTGTTCTCCTATTATGTTTACGGAAATCCGATGAGCGGTTTTCCTGAAACGGCAATGACAAGATTTTTCAAAAACCTTCAAAATGGCCACCAGAGACAAGATGGCTGCCCAAAAGTTAATCAGCTCTAGTACTTGATATCCTCTATCATTTGTGTAAATTTGAAGGAAATCCAATGAGCGGTTTTCCTGAAATGGCGATGACAAGATTTTTCAAAAACCTTCAAAATGGCCACTAGAAAACAAGATGGCCACCCAAAAGTTAATCAGCTCTAGTACTTGATATCCTCTATCATGTGTGTAAATTTGAAGGAAATCCGATGAGCGGATTTTCTGAAATGGCGATGACAAGATTTTTCGAAAAATCTTCAAAATGGCTGCCAGAAAACAAGATGGCCACCCAAAAGTTAATCAGCTCTAGTACTTGATATCCTCTATCATTTGTGTAAATTAAGATTTCTCAACTTTTACATGACTTTTACATGAAAAATTATGATCTCTCATCAAATTAAAAAACAAGGTATAACTTTAGACCGATATCTAACAGTCTATAGTAGAAATATTGAAGATAATCGCGGAAAAAATTCCTTCACCTCGAGGGGCTCTGCTGGGGAGTTCTTCAATCACGTCAATATAGTTAGATTCTTGCTTTATTTTAGCGATCTTTACCGTATTCTCTCCAATAACGATACATATAATTATTGTCAAAATAATTACTGTCACTTTTGTTGCAAATAAGGCATTTTTTGCAAGAAAAATTCCCATACATGAAATTCCCGGGGATTTTTGACTTCTCTCATATATGGGCGCTCTTTGTAATGGGTTACAATGGGAATTTCAATTTCAAAAGTGCCCTGGGTGCTTTTTACAGTGAATACAGTAAATCTAAACTTCAAGTAAAAAATAGCTCGCAGTTGCAACATTGCATTTTTCGCTAATATATGAACATTCAAATTGTTAAAAAAATTGTAATCATGCTTCATTCTTTGCTAGGCATTTCACACTATTTTTGGATCAATTTGTTTTATTAAAAAAAAATAGCAGGATGTTCACGTGATCAATCACAAGCACACGTTTTCCAAGAGCTATAAATGGCAGTTACATTCACTTCAACATTATCAATTGCAAACGGTAAGTCTGCATCTTCAGAATTTTGATGCAATGCTCAATAGCGTCACATCATATTTTCTAAATATCACTGCCAAACTTTGTGACAAAGAATTTCATCCTGCTTGCAGCGAGAAGACGGACCGGTTCGGGGCAATCTGCTTGCAGCGAGAAGACGGACCGGTTCGGGGCAATCTTCTTGCAGCGAGAAGACGGACCGGTTCGGGGCAATAGCTGATGAAATTCTTTGTCACAAAGTTTGGCATTTTTTATAAAATTAAATGCGCGTCATTGAAACTCACAAGATGTAAATAGCATGTCATTTACATCATACCTTGATGGGGAAAAATAGATCTTATATGTTAGAAGTACTAAATAAAAGTTATCGTGAAAATGAGACAGTCGTTCTCGAGAGAAAAGAGCATAAATGCGCATTTAGAGAGTTTTGGTCCGTTTAAAAATCTGTAAAAAATTGGGGTGCTTAAAAGCATCGGGAGGCATCATATATTTCAAATTAGACATGAGGAAGTCAATGTTGAGCAAGTTATGGCTGTTTTAAATTCAAATAAAACCGTTAACCCGTACCGGTCCAGCTTTTGACCCATACCAGTCAATTTTCGTTAGCTGCGTATACCAAGGGTGATGTTTGGTATATTAACAAAGATGCAATTTGCATATTTAGTCCCTTGCTTTTGTTACTTTGATGATCTTCATGAATATTGTCACATTGGCATTGCATTGCTACACGTAATGGTCAAGTGACTAGCAGCATACAGGAAAAATGGGGAATTTAAAATTTTTGGGCACTTTTCAGGTATTTATAAAGTGTTTGTAGTATAAAATATAATCCACAGACATAACTGGACATCCAAACTATATGTATTATAAAGTTTTGGGGCCATTTTTGCTCTTGGAGAGCTGGCACGTGTCATGTTGCATTCTGGGAGCCAATCTTCATTACGGCGTAATCGGGCTCCAAAATCACCTCAACATTTGAAGAGTCAGCATTAACATGTGAATATGTTAAGTTCTTATTTGTCATTATTATATACACAAATTCCACTATATCTGGACTTACTAAGACAGAGAAAATAGAGCACTGAATACACTGAGGTAAGAATTTATTATATGTGCGACAGCATGTAATTTTCATAGCTATAGTAATTCTTTATGTTCCCCACTGTAGTTACAATGCTGATACAAATTAATTGATAAGTTGTATAAGTTGGCAATTTTTCTTTAATTTTAACATTTAATGTCCCAAACTCCCACAAACTGCAGAAAAGTATACACTGTAAATTACCAAAATGAGTGTCTCCAAAGCTTCATACCAGCGTATGCATAATGCATTTGTCAGTTTGAGCTGAAATTTCACTAAAATGAAATAAGGGTAATCCCCGCCAGGTTTGTTTAATGTGGTTAGCTTTCATTTAGTGCTCAGAAGCAAATAATTCCTGTGCGCAAAATAATCAAAAAATTCTGATTGGACTTTTCACGTGGATACCGTATACGTCACGCATTTTCCTTGAAATATTTCATACCTACCCCCTTACCCCCCCCCCCCTTATACCTCTAATTATGTAAAATGATGGTAAAATGGATGAATAGCCCTACAAGAGTCAGCCATCTTTGATCTGGTTGCCCATATAAAGACTTGGAGTTTCGCAGAAATTGTACTTCATGTCCGTGCTACATTGCTACAAACTCAAAATGCTTGATTAGGTTGTGATCCGTATCAGTATGCAAGTAAGGTTTAGTGATTAGGTGAAGACTGAGAACAATATAGATTTTATTTTATGGTGCACAGTTATGAAACTGTGAGACATGGACCTGGGACTGTGGTGCACAGGAAGTTGTATTAAGTCCTTGTTGGGCCCTAACGGAGCCTTCTGCCCTCCCCCTAACCAAACCCGTCTGGCCCAGTTATCTGGGGTATTTACTCCGGAAAAAACACACTGGTTTTTCAATGTATAATACGTGCTGATAAATGAATAAACATCATAAAAAACACTTACGTGTTTGTTCCTTGTATCAAACTTTGTATTTATATTAGGTTTCCATCGCTGGATGACGGCTAATAAATAAGAACGAAACGATTAAACGCAGCAAAAAGAAAAATTCTTCTGCAATCTGTTCATGATCTCGTAGGATATCGAGAAGTCTCGGCTGCATATTTCGTTCAGTTCTACATTCGGTCAGTTCAACAAATCGAAAAATCGTATTTAATGTCCACAATATTTCTTTCAAGTCTAAATACAACACAGATACGTCTGTTTTATAAAGAAATCTACACTTTGATAACAAATCTGCTGAAAAATCGTAATATTTGGAATGTATTGATTCCCGGGAAATGTATTTTCGTTCCATGAAAGTTAAAAAATTATCGCGTCACACTTATGTTACGTCACATCACGTGACTTTATTCGGTGCGGAGAGTTGACGAAAATATTGACGAAATGTTGTGCCCATTTCAACATCAATATAACAAACAAAACACCACATTAAGGTCTCATGGAAGTTAACAGGAAATGACAAAACAAAAAATGACAAAGCCATGCTGGATTTTGAAAATTTTTTGAACCAAGATAACAGAGTTCTGTTTGGACCTCCAGTCAGTTTAACTAGTTCCACATATCATTTACATGACCGGGAACACAATGGAAATGGTCAGAATGACCATAAACATGATAGAATAACCTTTTCAGCCTTCTGAAAATGTGACTAAAAAATAGCTAAGAGTCTGTGCTCAGGAAAGGTCACTGAACAGAATCTTTTGACTTTTTCAGAAAATGTGCCCAATATATTGCTCTAAATGATACAATTTAAACAAATTTGATATCATTCTTAGAAAAAGAAAAAATTTAAAAAAACTGAATTGAAAATCGATCTATTTTCCTTTTTACTACAGCCATTATTGTTTCAGACAATTTTTTTAAATTTCAAAGATTGTGTCATTTAGAGCAATATATTGGACACATTTTCTGAAAAAATCAAAAGATTCTGTTGATTGACCTTTCCTGAGCACCTACTTTTAGCTATTTTTCAGTCACATTTTCAGAGGGCTGAAAAGGTTATTTTATCATGTTTATGGTCATTCTGACCATTTCAATTGTGTTCCCAGTCATGTAAATGATATGTGGAACTAGTTAAACTGACTGGAGGTCCAAACAGAACTCTGTTATCTTGGTTCAAAAAATTTTCAAAATCCAGCATGGCTTTGTCATTTTTTGTTTTGTCATTTCCTGTTAACTTCCATGAGACCTTAACGTGTAAGTAATATACTCTTTATTTCAAATAAATACTTGGGTTTACATCGAGCCCGATGTTTTGGTTGGATGGCTAATAGGAAATGAATAATAAGTGATGATTCAGCGACATGTTTTTTCCGGAGTAAATCCCCCTTTTTTGCATTGGACATTGTCTGGCCCAGATCTACGATGTCAGGAGTAGATAACTGGGCCAGACGGGTTTGGTTACCCTCCCCCAATCTCACACAACAGATGAACAACTTCCTGTGCTGTGGTGTGCCAAGACAAATACTTTTTGCCAAAAATTTTAGTCTCATTATGCAATTTTATTTTTTACAGAGAATACATTTAGGCAGGGCTTCATGGCGAGAATGACGAGAAGACGAAATCAGCTTTGTAAAGTGCCTAAAAATAATCAAAAATGTAAGAAATTTAAAAACCAAAAAATACCTGCATGAACATCCGGGCATTTCATAAACACTCTAAAGATGTAATCAATTACTAGTTCAAAATAATCAAAAATAGATTGCTTATTAGCAATACAAGATGATTGCTGGCAATAGTTGACTATATTCAATTTTTTAAAGTGTCTTTGTGATTATCATTTTAATCAATATTAGTATAAACAAGGAAAATAAATGATTAATTATGTTCAAAGTTTTTGTACATACCACGAATATAAAAAATTCGGCCGAGGGAAATAAATATGAGTCAATTTGCGATTTACTGTTGTTTACGTTCACAGTGAGCAATGCTTAGGTAAATATATACATTTTTAATTACCCATTAGGACTCTCTAAGAACTTGTCATGAAAAATGTCTGCCCTAGAAGGTCTATATAGGGGTCATGTCACAGTCATGGGCGTAGCGCTATTTTTTCCCTTTTTCTTAGTAGAATTGTTTTCATGGCCTGACTTCGTCGCTTACATGCTAAATATAAAAGTTAGCTGACGTTTGGGAGTCTGACTTACCTTCTAAAGGTTAGAACACGAATCTTAATGAAACCATATCACCTTTGATCCGTCAACCATGGAGCATTTGCCACAACATCCAAGAGGTAAATCATGGACCGTGAAAATGAATGATTTCCTTGTAAGTTCCGGAAGTTTCGATACAAAAAATTACCGAACATATGTGAAAACCGAATATTTGTTCGTTGTTTTCACGATTTAAAGGTTCGTTTGTTCTTCAATGTTTTGGTCTAGATTATAAAGCATCACCAACAGGTCTTACTCTATTAATCGACTAATACAGCAGACGGCTCATATTTCTACGTAGCATTTCGTTCAGACCAAAAGTGGGAGTGTAGATCACGCAGTTTCGTTCGTTGCGTACTTCACTTGAAATCTAGAACAGGCTATTCGTCCGCAAACGACCGCAAAACATTGCTTAATATTCTTTTAATTTTCACACCAGACATGCTTGGTTGACACGTCAACAAAGTAAAGTTCAAGGGTCAATGCGTTATTTCGTGATAACTACAACGCCTTCCCGGAAGTCAACATTGATGAAAAATGAAAAAGTCCGAAAAGCATTTACACTAATTTCTATCAAATGCTGTGTTTATGCATCATCATCGACGCAACAAAGGTGATATGGTTTCATTAAGATTCGGGTTCTAACCTTAGGAAGGTAAGTCAGACTCCCAAATGTCAGCTAACTCTTATATTTAGCATGTTAGCGACGAAGTCAGGCCATGAAAACAATTCTAGTACGTCACCACCACAGGAACAAGAGTTGAGCGAATCTTAAAAAGGAGCATGTCAGGGGGATCTGGGGGTTCTCCCACATGAGAATTTTGAAATTTGGTTGTATTTGGAGCGAATTTGCAACCATCTGGTACGCCTGTGCGTACCCAGCGTACCGGTCGCTACGTCCCATGACAGTCAGCACTTACTCAGTCCACAGGGGTTGTCTGGACTCTGGAGGGTCGCAAGACATCCGATGTGTTTGTAAATTGGGGGACAAAAATAAACCTCAACCCTCAAAAGTTGTCACAGTGAGCTTAATTCTAAATTTCCCAAGCTCTCTCAAACTCTCCCAAGCGGTAGAAAAATAATTCCCATTCACTTTAGTAGCACAATAAATGGATCCAAAGCTTCATACCTGCAAATGATGGATAAATCCCTACCAAATCGAACAAATGTTTTCATGAATTGCCATGTTTGTGATTCAAGGAGGATTGACTCACAGATGGCAGCATCAGGTAACCTTATTCACTCGTGACAAATTTTCAAAATGGCAGAACGGCATTTTGAAAGCTGACACATGTCATGTTGCATTCTAGGAGCCAATCCACATCCCGGCGTAATCGGGCTCCAAAATCACCTCAACATTTGAAGATTCAGCATTAACATGTGAATATCCACTTCAAATTTTTAAGTTCTTATTTATCATTATGAACACGAATTCCACTATATCTGGACTTACTAGGACAGAGAAAATAGAGCACTGAATACACTGAGGTAAGAATTTATTACATGTGCGACAGCATGTAATTTCCATAGCTTTTGTAATTCTTTATGTCCCCCAATGTACAGTGGCGTAGCCAGGATTTGGTGACCAGGGGTTCTATTTTTTATGTTATTCAAAAATCTCCCCCCAATAAAAACATTTTTGTGCAATTTGTACAATTTACACTCCCTCCAAGATTTTGGCAATCCGAACTAACCCAGCCCATTGCCAGGTATGGTCAGTATATACTGACAGGTATACTTTCAGTCTATACTGACAGGTCAACTTTTAGTCTAGTTACAGTATACTTTCAGTATATGTCCCATGTTATGTTTCCATTGACAGGTATGTTTCAATTATGGTAATTAGACCTACCAGTATGGTTTCAGTATACTTTCAGTTTAAACCAATGGGTATACATTCAGTATACTTTCAGTATATACATACCAGTATGGTTTCAGTATAATTTCAGTATATACCAATGGGTACACATTCAGTATATATGTATAGGTATACTTTCAGTATGGTATCAGTATATACCTATAGGTCGTCATTTAGTCTATACTGACAGTCTTAACATGTCAGTCTGTAGACTGATATGGATGAATATGACTCTACCAATGAGATACCTTAAATTTTAAATCACTCTGCAGATGAGAAAAATTAGTACATGTAATTTGGATAGCAGTCTTATTTTCTAGCATTACTTTATCTAATTAATTAGATGCAAGATTATGAAGACTTCTTAAAGACATACCATAAATAAATTAATATTCTTATATTAACTATATTCAAGTTTTATTCATGATGTATTTTTGATGCAAAGTTTTAATTTGCAAATTTTAACTGTATTTCTTTTTTAAATTTTACTATGACTGTATCTTTCATATCTTTCTCTCATTTTTTGTGTTTTCAATGTATAAAACATTCAATGTAATTATGAGCAGGAATGCTTCCCTGCCACCTAGTCTGGTAGGACAGGTTGTGGAAACAAATGGTCATAAAATAGAACTTACATATGAATAATTGTTGACTTATAGTTTTATCATGAATTTTGCATTTGCCGTTTATATTATAAAATGATAAAGTAAAACTGGTATACGTTCAGTCTAATCATTATTTATCAGAGTTTATTTGGTATGCTTTCAGTATATTATTGAAAATCATAAGTAAAACTGGTATGCTTTCAGTATATTCAGTATTTATCAGAGTTTGTTTGGTATGCTTTCAGTATACTATTGAAAATCATAAGTAAAACAGGTATACTTTCAGTATATTCAGTATCTTCATACCTATTTACAGATCTTTATTCAGTATATATACCTATTAATTGGTATGGTATCAGTCTGGTATCAGTATAGACCTATCAACAAGGTATACTTTTAGTATACTTTTGGTATAGACTGACTATACCTGGCAATAGGCTGGGAACCCATTGAATTTTGTGTTAAATGTATCTTTAAGTTTGAATTCTTATTTGCATAATTTGTAAAGAAAAAAACTATTTTGTGAGTGAAAATATAAATTGACATCATTTTAATACCTTCATAAGTTGCATGTAAGTAGACACTTGAATTTGAATTTTATTTAACAAAAAATTATTGAAATAACACAGGACGTAAAAATGATTTTCAAAAATGACCTTGTAACTTTGTAACTTTAATGTCTATAAAGTAAAATAAACACGCAGCGTGCAAAAAGGTTAGACAATTAAATTTTCTGCATCGAAATACTTTTCGGTGAATATTTTACTGAATATCTATCCAGTGAAATCTGATTTGCCCCAACTCCACCATTATTTCGTCTGATTTTGGGAAGACCCTGGAGCATGATTTTTACCAAGGAATATCAACTATTTCACACAATTTATTCTTTAACTTGAAAGCTACTTCATCTAGGACAAAATAAATCGCCCTATGCAATGGCTTATCATTATTTTGCAGGAATATTGTTGGAAGCCAGTTTGGATCAAATGCACTTGGTTATTGATAATGGCGCAGACACTCTATATACTCTGAAAGATCGTTCTTCTATGATAATTTTTCACAAAGTTTACACGAAGGCTTTTTAAACTCTCCGGTGTAAAGGGGTTGGAGGTCCTATTAATTTATGGTCCTATTCTCCATTGATTTATATGGTGACCTCTTTGTGCTCTTTCCCTTATTATCTTATACACAATCAGGGCCGGTAAGGGCCTTTAAAAGGGGGGACCATAATCTCTTTCACACCGTGATATTCATCATGAAAACATATGTTATTCAAATAAGTTGGTCTCAACGCAATTGATTTGGTTTTAATTGAAATAAAACAAAACAGAGATGTACACATTTGAAAGAACATGTGTTGCACCAATATTACGACTATTCCAGATATCTGTTCGTGTAAATGTTGTAAAAATATTTCGGAGTATGGGACTTCTGCATTGTTTTCAATAACTTTGTATTGGACCAGAACCTACAAAAGACTGATTTAGCCATTGCCCAAGATGGTTTATTTTGTCCAAGAAAAAGCAGCTTTTAAGTTAATTGCGCGAAATTATTAATATTGTTATTTCTAAATGTAAAATCTCATGCCATGGGGTCTTCCTAAAATTAAACGATCTTACCCCGTGCCTAACTTTTTGAGAGAAGTGTATTTTAATATCAATTCATTTACTGGCCATGGTCATATATGTATTTTTCAAATAGCAAAGTAATTTAATGTAGCTGGTTATTGCTATGGATTTTTCCTCAAAATAATATTTTGGGAAATCCTGACCAGGGGTTCGTTCGAATAATATTTTGAAGTACCTGTATGAACTCAGTAAATAAAATGAGTAATTCTACATATGTATATATATATCTTTTATATATCTTTTATCGACTCTTTAGATGTCATATCCTGACATATTAGTCACTTAGGTAGAGCAGTTCTTCCCATTGTCGAGTTGAAGAACTGGTATCTTTATCCTGGCTAGAACCATAGACAATTCTAGCCAGTGCCAGCCTTTTATCGAGTTAGCAGCACTCTAGTAATCGCCGGTATAGGTCAGCAGTCATAGGTCAAAGACAAATCACAAGAAGTGCTGTGACCTGGGTTTGAACCCAAGACCTCTACTTTTCAGCTTGAAGCCAGACTTCCTGCTTTTCAGACCAATGCCTTAACCACTAGGCCAACCCGGCGACCACATAATATACCTTGTTTTGAGAAAAATTTCAGTTTCTTACTTCTAAACTCATGATTATTGCTGATATGATATGAAAAACAATAGTTCAAAGAGAAAGCTTACAGAATTCAAACTTTATATATTCCTAAAGCTTGATATTGAACTTTTCTTCCATGACCAATACATTTTAAATCAACTTTCTATTAAAATGCTAACTTGAATGTATGATAATGGTTGTATGTGTTTGCTTCCCTATGTTTAAATTAACAAGCAACTTTTAGCTATTAGGTTGATCAACCATCATTGTAATACAGTGCGTATCAAAAAAAACGCAACAGATTGTCATCTCGAAAAAGCTCAAAACCAGTGATAACAGCATTGAATTAATTCAATGCACCATAAAGCCAACTTTTCTTCCATGACCAATACATTTTAAATCAACTTTCTATTAAAATGCTAACTTGAATGTATGATAATGGTTGTATGTGTTTGCTTCCCTATGTTTAAATTAAAGCTGGACTACGCTCCGAAACGCAATATGTTGACATATATTGTTTTTACATTTTCAAGCTCTAATATAAAGTTTATGTAAATAAAAATTGTTTTTTTCTGCGTAATATCAAAGAACAATCATTTAGTTAAAAAAATAAAAAGGCTGGTGCGGGATTCGAACCCGGGCCTCCCGCGTGCTCAGCGAGGATTCTACCCGCTACACCAACGTATTATTATGAAAGGAGGAAGTAATTAAACGCTACTTATTTTGAATGCTATGATTCGGAAGTGACGTCACGTTCTTCATTTAGAAACCTTTCCAAAATCATATCGCCGGCACCGATCGAAGCAAATTCAATGAAAAATCTTTGAAATGACACATTTATCGTAAGTATTTCTACACAAGATTAGCCCCATTTGTTCATCATTCTATAATCTTTCATTAAGCTCAAAATGATAAAGTTCACCCCCGAAACAACCCAAGATTGCGTTTCGGAGCGTAGTCCAGCTTTAACAAGCAACTTTTAGCAATTAGGTTGATCAACCATCATTGTAATACAGTGCGTATAAAAAACGCAACAGATTATTATCTCGAAAAAGCTCAAAACCAGTGATAACAGCATTGAATTAATTCAATGCACCATAAAGCCACGTGTCTCCTCTTTACAATGATATATCATTCATTGATATTTGGTCATGGTTGGGCGAGTAATCATTCCATTTGCAAAGTGGGCCGAAATTAGCTTGGGGCCAAGTAATAAACATCGCAAAAGTCAGTGTACGGAGGCCGATGCAATATTGGAAGAAAACATAAAACGAATGCTGACTGCATCCTTTTCATTCAATGTACCAAAAAGATAAATTACTCCTCTTTGCAATGGAATATCATTCATTCACAGGGAGTCATCTCTGGCCGAATAATCATTAATTTTGCAAAGTGGGGCAAAATTAAGCTCGGACCCAAGTTTTAAACATTGCAAAAGTCAGTACAAGGGGCATAGGGGCTATTGGAGGAAGGTGTGACAGGTGTGGCATAGACAGTAAAGTGTTCATACTCATACTCTTGCAAGAAGACATCCTATACCCCTCCAAATTGCCACCACTTCCTTGCACATAAAGATGCGCTCATCTGTCCACGTCATGCATGGTTTAGCCCTGAGTCATCTGTGGGTTAAAGCAGAGAAAAGCAGCCCATGGGCAATTCTTTCTCGAGGTTTTGCAATATCTGGTAGAGAAATTGTGAGCACAGATGCTCCTGAGATAGCTACAAAAGAAAAAGTCACAACAATTCAAGTAAGAGGAACTTCCTTTGGCACTTAGCCCTTGCACTGATTTTTTCAATATCTAAAACTTGGCGCAGAGCCGATTTTGACCCACTGTGCAAATGGAAGGATTTCTCACCCAACCATTATCACATGTGACTGAATGACATATCATTGCAAAGAGGAGAGATGTGGCTTTATGGTACATTGAATGAAATTGATGTAGTCATCACTAGTTTTGTGATTTTACGAGATAACTACTTGTTGCGTTTTTTTTATACGCCCTGTATAACCCCAAGATTTCCACTCCTTGATTTAATTCAATACTCCTCTTAGTGGGTTTCATTTAATTTATGAGCTGTAATGTGATTTCAAATTCAAAACATTAAAAGTCAGGATACATCAATGTGACATTAACAGTGACATATATAACATATAGTCATGACATTTTAAAACAAAATGGATGGGATTACATGTAAGTAGATGGGTGTTTGTCTAATAGGGCCCCCAATAGAAGAAAACAATGTTTTTAAAGGTGTATAATTTGGATGACTTGATAGATAACAAAAGAAGCCCAGAGAGAGTCTCATCTCAGTTGCCAGAAGAAGAAAAAGTTTGACAAAGAATTCAATGTTTATGATTGACAATTTATGCAATTGATCAGGAGTTTTTGATAGTTTTTAAACTTATGATGTGAATATGAATTAAGGATGCATCTTTAAAAGCAGTTATTGCAGTGCTGGAACCATATTATATTGGATCAAAATTGAGTGTCTAGTAGAGATATTTCTACTTATCCAGTAAAACTTGCATCAATTATAAAATTCCTTATCATTAATACAAAAATGCCATCTGAGACCAAGCATATGTCAACTTTTGTACACATAGTGCCTTTAGAACTATATCTTATGTAAGACTTTCTACCATTTTTTCCAAGAATTGGAAACAAAAAACTTAGTAAACAGGCAACATCCAGTTATTTCATCGAGGGAATATAAAGAATACAATTGGCCCAGAATGCATGTTCTGCCCTAAAAGCCAATTTTTCAAAATGGCCATTTTACTTTTGATAGAACTTTATAATTATAAATGATGTTGGCCATCTTGAAAAAAACTTATAAATGGGAGTATGACACATTATTCCATAATAACATGTTTTCCCAGGGAAATAAACTGAATAGAATTGATATTCAAAAAATACCAAATCAGATCCCATATCAGCCAAAATCCCGTATCAGAACTATCAGAGACTATGAGACTTAATTGTGTGTATAATTTATTTTTTTAAGACTTGTAAATAATAGTTGAAAATGTCATTCAATATATTTAATTGTATCATTTGATTTAACCATCAGTAGGTGACAACATACAAAAAATGTATTTGAAAAATATTATGGAATAAATAGGTTATTGATGGTCGTGATGGAATATGAATTTTTATTCGATAAAATTCATATTCCATCCCTCACATTAAATATCCTCTATTTATCTTGTGACATTAATTATCTACTGCTGCTATCATCTATAGAATATCTTTCAATGTTTTGCAGTATAAAATGGGAAATACATAGTTTTCAATCAGTCAAGACAGAGTCCTCTCTCAGTTCCTGTAAACAGCATACAAGGGGCAATCATGTACGGACGTCAGGGACAGTTTGTCCCACAGAACCAAGGACTGTTTCCATCACCTGGGCAACAAGGTCTGTATTCAAGACATGCATATACATATACATGCATATGTGTTATTTCATGATTATTATGGACTATATGCACCCTTAAAAGGTGATTTTGGACCAAAAGGAATTGATTTATATATAAGTGGAAATGGGTGTATCGCCTTATCTGGAATGTGTTTTTCTCAACTCTGGAAAAAATCCTCATACATCCATTTTGATCTCAGATATTGTTTAAGAAAGTGATAAAATGAATGAGTCTTGGAGGTCATTTTATTTACATATTATCAAGCCCCGTTTGCATATGTATTGCAGGGTATCAAGCCAACTATCAGATGTCATCAGGCAGCCAAAGTATGTACACAACTAACCCTACATACAGAGCTGCCACAGTTACAAGCACTTACAATGCTTATAGCAGTCTAGCTGGAGGGAGCCTAGGGCAGGCAGTGGGGGGCACACCATACTCCCAAAGCACAACATCATATAACCAGCCACAGTCATATTCCACTAAGCCTGTTACACCTTCTACCCTGCCTAACTCCTATAGTAACTATACCCGAACAAGTGAACCGATAACAACTACTGCCAGTAAAGCTAAACCAGTGAACACAGCAAGTAAAGGTGTGACTGTAACTAATATAAAACCACTGGCACAAGAAGAGACCAGTGATATTCCAGCTACCATATATGGGCGTACAGCACCAACTGCAACATTTGAACCTATAATGTCATCTTCAGGGCAAAGGGTTATGAACCAAACATCGCAAAATGTAGAAAAGGGGCCTCTTTCAAAACCCATAAAGGGAATCTTGAGGAAAACACGTAAGTGAAAGTTCCATTCAAATTCTGAATAATTTCCATCCTTGTCTACAGATTATTGATGCCCCAAATGTGCATTCTACACAAATCTTTGCAGATATGTCTTCAGTGGAGGTTTATTTTAAATCTCAATTTCAGATTTTAAAAAATATATTGATTAGAAAGTTACTCCATTCTTTCATATTGTATTTCATTTAAATTAAGCATTGAATAATATAAGTAATAAAGATAAAAAAATTTAACACTAAAATTTTCTTCAGGACCTCTGGAATAATCCAGGATAGTAAATTACCTCAACAAGGTCTTTTAAAATTTTGTTTCAGCCTCACGTGTCACACAAGATGGCCTCCTAGGAGCAGGGCCAAGTAGTGTGGTGAGTTAAGAATGTATTTTATTTAGTGTCTTAATTAATCATTATTCTAATCCATGTATGTGAGATAATAAAGTCAATATAGATGATTTACCTCTCAAATTGCTTTGTAATTTTCTTATGCATAAGAGAATTAACCATATAAGGCATTAAACCTATTAGGACATTAACTGTATGAGGGCAGCGAACATGTGAGAGCATTAATCAAATGAGGGCATTAACCATATGAGGGCATTATCTTTACTTTTAGGGCCCTGCAGGGAATGTAATCAAGCCTCTGATGCCACCTTCTATGAGGGTATGTATAACCTTTCAGAAAAATGAAAAAATATACATTTCACATTCTGATTTATCAGAGTCCCTCTTTACCTAACGCTTTTGAGAGACTCTGATTTATCATGAGGCAGAACATGTTCCTAGCCAGTGCATTCTCCAAGTAAATCAGTGTATATGGAGGAATAAATTAGTACCTAAGAATGCACCGGCCTGTTTTCCCCTTTGTAAACTTTAATTCAATGAATTCATTATGTGGAAAACTTTTACTTATCTTGATGGTTCTTGTTTTTATATTGAAAATTAATAACTATGATAATGTTGACATACTTCTTTTTTCTTATTGTTTTCCAATTTATAATTTTAAACAATAATTATCATGCAAATGTCAACACTTGGATTATTTGGGAGGGCATTGTGTTTGGTCACACTCATTAGGCTTTGTCTGCTTATGTAATCATGTAACTGCAGGTAATGCCTTCCCATGATACTCATGGTCAATAGAACTCTGTAAATAATTTAATTGGTCCGTACATTTTAGGGTTTAAGGAAACATTTATTACAGTCAGTATCCCACAGTCTGAACTATTCCAAAAGGATAGTAAAGGCTGTGGATCCCACAATGTACATTTCAGTTGAAAATATAGTTGAACTATAAAGCATTCATCTTCTCTAGAAAGACCATGAATTATGTAAACAGTTATGTACATGTAATTAACACTTTTAGAGAAAAATTCCAATAGTCCATTCACCTTGAGAGTTTTTGAATAAGCATGTACAGGCTTACAACTCATTATATGTTGTATCATGGCCATTCTATTCCCACAGCTGAAATCATATGTATAGTCATGTGGATTCACACTGCTGCACTAAAATAGTACATCATGTCAAGGGGAATGCTATTTATATGTCAAATATCAGCCAGGTGGATAATGCCAGCCACCCTCCAGATTTCATTGTTTAATAAATGCTTTCACTTGCAGTGGTCAATATTCGATAGACTATCAAGGCAGCCCATCAAATAAACACAACCAAAAGTCAAAGCATCTACAAGTCGATTTAAAAAGGTTGGTTGATATTACCCAACTGGTTCATATTTTACTATCCTCATATGTTTTTCAGAAACAAATGACAGAAGAGGAAGCACGAGTGTATCTGAAAATAGCTAGAACCAAACCATGGAGCACAATAGACAACTCCTCTCTTACGGAAGATGAACGCTGCATAATCAGGTGAGAGCCTTTCATAAACCCCGGGGGCTTAACTCGATTTAGATTTATATATTCATGCTACCTTACCTTATTGAGCTCAAAGTATGTATTTCGCTATATACATTACATGGTTCAATTTAATCAGAATAACTGTGGCCCTTTATATGTACAGGGTGTCCCATGTATATTAATGTATGAGATGATAAATCAGAATTCAGAATAAAATAATGTCACCTAGAAAATCAAAACAAATGAGCTATAAAGATATAATCAATGTGCCCGGCATACTGGTGTCATAAGTTACAGAAATTGTAACCCTTCTTGGTTTTGTAACAGGTCCATCAAGTCATTCCAAATGAATGATGAAGAAAAGGCTGAAGGTGAACACTGGTTGAAGCAAAAGTTTGATGAAGCTTATAATGCAGAGGCAAAAAAGAATGGAGCATTTTCCAGTTACAGTAAGAATATATAGTACATGCACCCTTAGAACCCGTTATGCATTATACAGTAAGAATATATATACAGTACATGCACTCTTTAAGAACTCATTATGGATAATGAAAAACTCATAATATTTGTCTCTTGTTATTAATTGGTTGATTCTGTACATCTAGCAAAATGTAAATTATTGACTGATGACCACATGGGGACCAAGCACAGGGAGCATCCGTCAATGTGGTTACAAAGCAGTAAAATAACATGTTCATCATCCTTCGATCACAGGGCTTCAAAATCCAGAATATATTCTTTCTTTTTACCCCCTGCAATAAGCAGCTAGCCTTTCCCCGATTAAGAACTCGCAATCTGATTGGCTGTCGCAACACTGCGACAGAAATCATGTATAAGTCATTGCGCATAATAAGATCATGTGATTCAGTTTAATAAGGCGCTTCCAAATTGGTTATAGCAGGGGGAACAAGGAGGTACGGATTCTGGATACCTGCTTAGGAGGATGCATGTTCATTGAAGCAGGCTATTTCTTAAGAGTGTCCACTTTAGAGCCACGATTGACCATTCATGAGCAGTAATACCTCCATGAAATTATGTACATTTTATTTCATTGCACTTTTTATTTGACCAATTATAAGTGTGCAGTCAAACAGCTGGGAAGACAATAATGTAATACAGGATTAAAGGCATTTCAAGGAGCTCACATTTCAATTAAATTTTCCTCTTGTTTGGCTTGTATGTAAATGTCTTATTTTTATTCTTCTCTCCTACTCTAATTAGTAATTGCCATGTACTGTTTCAGTTCTTGACATGAAGGCATCAATTCTCACAGACCAAATCGCAGGCCTAGTCCCCAAGATGCATGTCTGCATGGATGCCGGAATACGACTTGTTGCTCTCAACAATTTACTCTGCTGTGTAAGTTTAGTGTTTTGTTAACAATGGTATATTTTTTATTAGAAATATTCTTAAAAGTATGACCGTACCATATTATCATTGAAAACAAGCGAAACAACAGACATACATGAAATGGATATTCTTATTTATACCATGATATTTATGTCAATATAAAAGTGGTATTTTTGTAATCAGTGTTAAGATATGATATTTTTTGACAAATTTTCACTTAACCTTGGTATACGGCTCAAAATAAAATAGGAGGATGCATATGTAAAATTGCAGTAATTATTTTCAGTTATAAATGTTATGATCAAAAATTGTTATTTCCAGATTTGCGATAAAGTGTGCCACACTAAAGATGAGTGGACCATACATGTGGGTACCAAGAAGCATAAAAAGGTAAGTTCACAAAAAAGTGAAGCGGGAAATTAAGTTTCAAAGAAGTAGATGTCAAAGTTACATGTATGATTTCATTGTAAAATAAATCCATTCCTATTGTAGAAGAGAAAGGGTTAATAAAACCATTGCAGCCATTGTTAATTTGAAAGGGTTAATGAAAGTGGAAGAGTTAATGAATCCATTGCTAGAGATGAATCCATTGTCACTTACTTGCAGGTTATGAAGATGAAAATGATTGGCTTCTTCCAAAAGGAAAAGGAGAGATTGGAGGAAGACTTGCAGAGAAAGGAAAATGAAGAAGCTATGAGCCATGTGGTAAAGCCAAAGACCTGCCACATGCCAAATGGCATTACGGACTATTTTATGTGTGAGGTAAATCTTGTTCATTTATGATATTATGTCACCACCACAAGTGGTGACATATTGTTATGATCTCCAACTTTTTGTAGCTGGTGTTTGGTGGTTGATGTCTGTAAGAGCATGCAGTTGTCAGCATATGTAACAAATGACAGGTGGTGGTGACATGTTAATGCCTTGTTTTCCTCTGTAACAATTAACGTTTCAAGAAATGAAAAGATAAAATTAAATAACATGTATACTGCTAGCAACTTAGCAAGGCTGTCAGGCTCATCTATTATCTTTTAAATGTTTATTGAAATATGAATTTAATGTGCATGTAGTGTCAGTGGGAGTAGCTATGAGGAAGACAAGGACCCGTGCTGAGTTCATCATGACTTATGCTTTTATGGTTTTATACATTGTTTGATAACATACCCCTATACTAGTATTAAAATTGAATCAGAGTGTATTAATATTTCACATAATATGTAAAGTGTGTTGCATTTGCATACTAGGATTGTTGTTTATTGCAGATATGTGACACCCATTGTTATAACCTCAAAGGTTGGAGCCCACATATTAAAGGAAGAAAACATGCCACTGTAAGTCAGCATTTTATACATCTCACCAAAGATTTTTATTTCAATTTATCAAATCAATAACCAGCATTAAGGTTTGCATATTGCTTCATCAAAAATGTAACATTTAGTTGAATATGCCCATAGACATGATCTGTCTACAATGATTTCTTTGTAAGGGACAACTTGTACATTCTCTTCATATATTTCAATGTCATCATTTTGTTTTTATGTCACGCCAACACCAACAAGTGGTGCCATATTGTTATAGTCTCCAACTTTTTTGTGAATTGTGTTCAGTTTGGTATTTAGTGGGCAGTGGGTGGCATTTGGTGGACAGCTTCTGTAACAAATGTCAGGTGGTGACATTTTGCATGTAAATAACTTGTTAGCTTATGAACTAATTGAATACATATTGTATATGTTTAGAGAATTGCCCTGTTCAAGTCCCACCACCCCAAGGAGTGGGAGAGGATTGTGTCCAATGTAAACCAAGACAACTGTGACTATCTGGGTACTGGCCACGAGAATCAAATAGAGGTGAACTTATACTTTTACATTATGATACCAGCTTAAAGAAGCATCAGGTTGTTTTCGAATTAAGCATATTGCTACATTCTCATTGAAATGCATATCTATCTATTAAAGGCTCCATGTAAGGTTATTTAAACCACTTTGCAGTCTTACTTATGCTATCAATGTATCAACTTCTTTTTAATTTCAAGAAAACAACCTTTTCAAGAAATACACTTTTTGGTACTAAAATACCATTTTTGGAGTTACAAATATCTGTTAAAAATGCTATGGGAAAAAAAATTAAGATTTTAAAAGTAAATGGCTGAGACATTGCTTTTCTAAGTTCACTTTTTTAAAAAAAAGTCTACAACATTTGTACTATGTTTATCATTACAATGTTTCGATAGATTACATATAGGCTGAGTAGAAGGACCATGATCAACATAACAAAACCCAATGAAATTAAACATTACCTTTTGATTTTATTGGTCCATTCCGCAAACAGTTCTATATTATAAAATTGAATCTGTTTCATTTTAGGATAATGAAGAAACACTAGAGAGCAGATTCTGCAGGGTAAGACTGATCACAAATATAAAATATTAATTCCATTTTCTTGTACAGTGCTTGTCTCATTAAAATATATCTGGAAATTTTCTAAAACAAAAATTATAACAAAGAATATAACAAAAGTTAAGCATATGAAACGTGAACTCAGTCAGATCATTAAACTGCAATGGAGTTAACATTTCAGGTTGTTTTGGAAATGCCATAGCAATTACTAGACAATAATACTCATGGAATTTAAAATGAATTCAATGTATTATTTCCTTCAGATCTGCAACAGGAATGTACATGCAGTTGATAAATATGGAATGCGAGCTATGTGGAACTTTCATATTATGGGCAAAGCTCATAATGACGTAAGTTCAAATATTTCCTCATCTATAAACAGAATTCCAAAAAAGCACAATGGGCAACATTTAAAGGACATATGTACTAATATTCTCTTTGATGTCATTTTAGTCACACCAGTGTACAATATACAAAACTGATAATGAATGTACAAGTAATGAAAAGTTGTAAAATACAGGCAAAAAAAACAAGAAATACCCAGTAGATTCATATCACTTGATCAGGTACAAGTGCAAAATCAAGTGTATTTTGTAGGAGATACTTTCAGCAGTTGGTGTGTATACACTTAAAATATATGAGTTACCTATGGTTATGCAAGTACTAGTCAATTTTTTATCAAATGGAGAATTTTAAGATTTAATAAACTCTCACTTCAATGTATCAAAATTTCTCTTTTACTTCTAGTTTGAGAAGAAAGTTGACCATGAGGCACGTGAGAGATTTGCCGAGGATATTCTACATTATAAGGACATTGACTCACGGCTGAAGCTGGAAAAGAATAGTCAGTTAGCAGAACATTCAAAACTCAAAAGAATCTGTGTGGTATGTATTCACTTCATATGTTTTCACATAAATGTGTTTTCACCTCATATGCTTTCACTTCATATTCTTTCATTTCATATGTGTTTACTGTATGTGTTTTCACTTCATGGTTTCACTTGATATATTTTCACCTCATATCTTTTCACCTGATATATTTTCACTTCATATCTTTTCACTTGACATATTTTTACCTCATATCTTTTCACTTGACATATTTTCACCTCATATCTTTTCACTTGACATATTTTTACCTCATATCTTTTCACTTGACATATTTTCACCCCATATATTTTTATTTCATAGTGTTTTGAGGTTCATCCTACACTACTCTGCCTCATGTAGTAATCATTTCTATTTTATTTCTAGGCGTGCAATAGGTACATTTTCTGTAATGATGAAGTTGCATTGAAAGGGATGTGGAATTTCCACATATTTGGAAGGCCCCATGAATATGTAAGTGGCAACATCTTTATAAGTGATAATAATTTGTAATTCATTTTAACTCCATCAATTCAAATAGATTCAATATATACTACACATGGCATTTAAGAACCCATTATAGATTCAATATATACTATTATAACATACCTATGACGAAGTATAGTGTAAACTGTTCGCAAGAGAGCGGGCCAATATAACTTTCGAATCATCATTTTGAATCATCATTTCCGAACCATTGCTAGTCAATTAGATAAGAAAACGATACTCTCTGAGCAGACTAGATCATCATAGGTATGTTATAAATCGTTTATGTCACTATAGTTGCACATATGCCCTCGGTTCTCAGTGATCAATGTCCCTCCCAAGGTCGGGCCATATATCACTGAAACCCTCGGGCATATATGCAACGATAGTGACATAACCTCTAACACATGGCATTTAAGAACCCAGTATATATTCAATATTGATAACATGAAGTTCCCCTCAGCACACAAGTTTAGGTTTATTCTTACATAATTGTTAATTTATATCTCCTGTATTTGTTTTTGCTCTAGTGCTTGAAGCAGGCCACGGATGAGGTAAGGAGTAAGTTCTATCTGGATTGCATGAAGTATAAACAATATGATGACACTCTCCCTGACCCACCCAGGCGACACTTCCCTACGGTGAGTAAAATTCACAGATGCATTCAAACAGTTTCTGATATTCAGTTTTATTCAAAAGATTTACTGTATTTCAAGTCATGTACAAGAACCTCTATTTCTGCCAACCTTATAAGCTGTTCATCTTGGTTGCCCTGCTGAGTGGAGTTGACAAAATATACTAATATAAATAGGTCATACATTGATTATTACAATCATGGAATCTTATTCTATTCTATGAAAATGTATTTTAATGTGCATGTGAAGTATGTCCAATCTCTTCATCGCAGCATTATGTTAGATACTTTCAAGGACAGATATTTATCATCGATATGTAGATTTTATAAAGTTATGTCATTTTGTTTACAGTATATATTTGGTCATATAGCTCCAGATCTCGAACTATGTTATTTTTGTTTGTTCTTTTTGGAAGATATTGAAAAGTATCAAATGGCCGTTTGTTTTATATTCAGGAAGAAGAAATGTCTAAATATGAAGAAGCTGTTCCTGGAGATAAAACAGTGAGTAGCACACACCTTGGATATTTAACATTGAATATTACCAAACACCACCGATATGTATATTTCAATGATTGAACCTTTAGGGGAGCTCAGAAAAAGTACTAAATTAGGCAAAATTTGATGTGCATGTTTTCAGGTTTCTTTTACGTTCCGACCACTCAATCAGTGGACATAGACTTTCAGAAAGACCATGGTATAGATAAGTAATATTACATATTCTAATAAAATACATGAAGTCACAATAGCTAAAATTGATTTGCTGGTCTATATTGGAGTATGTATGACCGCTGAAATTCATAAATGCAAAATAGTTGTTTTTCTTGTCTGTTTATCATATTAGAATCGTAACAAAGGCCTCGATTTTATGATTTATGTCATATAAATAAATATTGCACCATAAATCATAAAATCTTGGTCTTCATTTCTTAATTCAACTATATTACTTAAAAGAGAATGAGCCTGCTGATATGAAGTCATGCATATTCACATTTAAACACGTACTGTCAACTGTGGACAAGTAATTAGCACTTAAGGTTGTACCCCATTAGAAGTATTATCTTGTCAATACGTTATCATTGTTAAAAGACTAAAACCATGAATGGCAATAATAATATCTAGGGTCATATTGATCAGAAAATATAGAACAGAGTTCTTTGTTGCAATTTTTATCCTAATATGATAAAATAACCCTCAACTTCCTGCACTTCAGGCCCAAATTAGTTAACAATCCAATATTCTTGAAAGGAGTGGTATCGATATGGTGAACTTTTTGAACACACGTTTCTCTTGAACCATTTATCAAAAAAATCTGAAAAGTTTACACATCGTCAATTTAATGGTCATCTTTTGAATGGTCATAATATGATTTGAAAAAACTATTTATACTTTTCTCTATATTGTTTTAGAAAACACATCAGACACTTCTTTTGTTCTTGGTATCATATGTTCGTAAAGAAATGAAACATCTATCCGAACCTCATTGGAACAAAATGACATAAACACAACGTGTTTAGGTCTCTCAATATTGTAATTGTACAAAGGAAAGTTTTGTTGATATTAAAAAAGTATCTTGCTGATGAAATAAAAGGTTTATCTCAATTTTTATCTATTTGAGGGATTTTTTGAATGCTTTTTGTTAAATCAACCAAAATTTCATTTGTATAACTGTAATATTGAGAGGTCTAAGAAAATGGTGTATATGCTGTTTTGTTCCAACAATGTTCGGAAAGACATTTTATTTCATTCTCAAGAATTGGTAAAAATGAACAAAAACAATTGCAATAGAAAACAAAAAAACAGTTATGTAAAATATATGTAAACAATTTTTGCATTAAATTGTTGTCACTCAGTCAACCTTACAAAAAGGACCGTGTTTTTTACAGAATGTTTTCAATAATTGGTTTAAGATAAAAACATTGTTTTTTCAGTTCACCATATCGATACCTATCCTTTGTTATTTCTACTCAAATTATGCTATATCACTCAGTTATGCAACTAACTTCACATAGCAATGTTGCTAAGTGATGGACAACATGATTGTTTTATTTTCAATAATTTCCATGAAAATGTAATTTGTATGTACATTTGCGCATCATTATTTTAGGGGCTACATTGTATATTCTTATGTATTCCATACCTGATGAGGTTTCAGGAACATACTAGCCAGGAATATATTCAATATCCAGGTGAATATATATTGGAGGATCTGGCATATATTCATCGGCATAAATTCCTTGACAAGCCATTCTCCGGGTCTATTTATGCCACCCCAGGAATTCCCACAATAACCATGTCAGCACTTAACTCTTAGCTCTAACAACCGTGATATGGGTGAATTTTAAAGAAAACTGCTTCACTTAGAATGACATTTTAGATTTCATTTGCATTCATACTTTTACAATGGTGTTGCGAAAATGTGAAGGACACATCTCTTACTTTAAGATACTGGTATATGTATTCCAAGTTAACACATCAGCATATGGGATGCTTATTATTTCAAACCTCATCATATATGGAATACAACAATTTTGCCTGGTCAGTTTTGATATGCATGTTATGCACAGTCGGTTTTGATCCCTTGGGATATTCAATATATCTTCCCTTTGTCCCTTTAGGCCCTCGGGGTGATAAATTGTATAACCTTCAGGTCTCTGTATCTAAAACCTCACAGCGCATAATACTCATATATAAATGTACTGTATTTCATTCAATAGACTTTTTTCAATAAATCCTTCCATCATAAGCTACACCAAAGAAAACAGGATATTTTCCTCAGATGAGATTGAAACCTGACATGATTATGACATCAAATGACATCATTAATCAGGCCTATATGATATCCTTACTAGTCACTGGTGTTGCAAAAGTTTGTATTTTTAGATATCTATTCTTTTGTATATTGTGATGTCATTTATCATATTTTCATTTTATTGGTATTTTTATTAAAAAACATTTTTATTGTATTCAAGAGAACTACAGTTTCACTTTAAATACTATTAAAAGCAAAACTCTAGCTTTAGATGTAAATGAACATTATTGTTTTTAAGAAAAAACTTTTTTCACTTCAAATCTATATCTTAAATGTTGATGACTCGCTGGTGAGAAAGTTTACAAAGGTCTGTAAAAAACTAACAAAATGCAATAGAAAGTCAGATAATTCTACAGCAGGTCAACAAAATAAGTCAGAATATCCACAAGATTTTGAAGAAAGTCAGTGAACTTCTGCAGCAATTTGACAAAATCCTACACAAATCAACATTGATGATAATCCTTAAGAAAGTAAGAGCTTCAGCAGAGTTCTGCAGCATTACAGCGAATGCAACAGAAAGTCAAATAAGTCAACAAGGTTTCGGAGAAAATCAACTAAGGCTAAGGTCTGCAAAAAGTCAACAAACTTCTGCAATGCGTCCAATAAAGTTCTGTAGAGGGTCAACAATTTCCTGAATCATCTCAACAGAGTTCTACGACAAGTCAAGAAAGTCCTTCAGAAGGTCCAGGAAGTCGAAATTCTGCAGAATGTCAATAAAGGTTGTATAATATAACAAGTCAACAACATTCAGCAGCAAGTCATGAGAGTCCTGGAGCAAGTAAGTCAATAAATTCAGACAGAAAGTCAGCAAAGTTCATCATCAAGTCAGCAGAGTCCTTGGACAAGTCAGCAAAGGTTTATAATATAACAAGTCAGTAACATTGAGCAACAAGTCAACAGCGTTCTGGGGCAAGTTACCAAAGTTCTATTACAAGCCAATGAAGTTCAGCAGCAAATCAACAGAGTTCTGGGAGAAGTCAATTAACTTCTAAACAAGTGAACGAAGTTCAGCAGCAATTTGACAGAGTCCTGGAGCAAGTCAGCAAAGTTCTAACAAGTCAGCCATATTCAGCAGCAAGTCAGCAGAGTTCTGAAAAAGGTCAGTAAAAGTTCTGTAACAAGTAAGCGAAGTTCAGCAGCAATTCAACAGAGTCCTGGGGCAGGTCTATAACAAGTTGACAAAGTTCAGCTGCAATATGACAGAGTTCTGGAGCAGGTCAGTTAAGAACAAGCCAGCAACAAGTCAGCCACATCGAGCAGCAGGTCAACAGAGCTCTGGAGCAAGTCAGCAAAGTTCTATAACAAGTTAGAGAAGTTCAGCAACAAGTCAACAGTCTTGGAGCAAGTCAGCAAAGCCCAACAGAACGTCCCCAAATTACTGCAGCAAGTCAGTGAAGTTCTACAGCAACTCAACAAAATCTTGCAAAATGAAAGTCCTTTGAAAGTTAACAATAAAAGTTCAGCATCAAATCAATAATAATTTTGCATAAATCGAATCATTACATGGCATTAAGTTTTCAAGCTTATGGAATGAATCAGCAATGAAATTCACAATTTTATTCAGCAAGTTGTCTTGACTTGTCCTTGTTCAAAGCAAACAGTGCTGAAAAAATCGCACCTATGATTAGTGCATAAATTATCCAATTGAATTTTTTTTGAAGTGATCAAGTCTCTTACAAACATATTGATAAGGTTTCTTCACTACTGTATAAATGTTTATGAGTCTTTAATCATGTCACAGTTTTGATGCACCAAACATATACATATTGTTTCTTTTATTGTACAGCTGTACTTTCGCTGTGTTACAATTACCATGGTTACCGTACAAGCTCTACCAGCCTAAGTACCTCTTTATTTCAGCCATGCTTCTCCAACATATTGCATTATATAATATTGTTTGGAGATTTAATTATTTAATTTTTTCAAATGCATAGTTTTATTGGTATTGTATTGGTGTTGTATTATTTCATGATAGAGTATTGGAAATATGTTTCATTAATTGCAAGATGAAATTCTTTTATGAGTTTTTCATTTATTGCAAATAACTTGGATGTATGTTCCCTACCATCATGAAATAACCCAGAATTATATTCATATATAAACAAAATGTATATTTGGGAAGGATATTTATTTTATAAATATCTATCCAATTTCTGTGTTCATGTGATTGTCAATGCACAATCATACTTATTTTTAGAGCACAATTTACATTTAAACGTCATTGTCTTATCATTTCCTAACAATATATGAATATACTTGCAGGATCAGGAAGGTGCATCAAATGTTAATGCTAAAAGCAAGAAACAGAAAGACACCAAACAGACCTTTGACTATGGCCATGATCAAGGAAAACCTAAGGATATTAGTAGTAATGGTGGTAAAGAAGTACAAACATTTGATTATGCCCATGGAGAAGCAGGTGTATATATCCCAGGTCTTGAAGGTCCAGCAGAAACCCACAGTAAAGGTAGCACACCAGCCCCAAGAAAAACAGGTTTCTACAGCCATGAGGACAAAGGCTCCAGAAGAGAGTCTGTGGATGCTTTATCAAGTCTCTCCCAAGCCTATGATGAAAGAAGCCTTTATTCAACAAGTGAAGATGATGTTCGTGGAGGTCAACATAAAAGCGATAGAGGATCAAGTCCCCAAGAAAAGAACAAGGAACGCAGTAGTCAAAGAAGTAGAGACAGAAGGAGAAGGCAGAGACAAATGAAGTCTCATAGTAAAGAGGCAGCTCAGTCAAGGATAGACATGCTAGCTGAACAACATCGGAGGGCAAAAGAAAAACAAAGAAGCAGAGAAAGAACTAGAAGTTTAGAAAGAAGTCCAGTAAGAAGACGACCAAGGAGTAGAAGTCCTGATATTAAAGTTTCTAGCAGAAGCCCCGATAATGTATCCTCTTCATATAAACGCGCTGATCCCAATGTGAGTACCCCTGTACCCTTAGACCCATATGGTAAAGGTACACTGTCAACAGCTTCTTCATCTTCAGATCCATTTGGCCAAGGAATTATGTCAGTAAATCAAACTGCATCTGTAGCATCATATATCCCTCCAGGAACAACTGCAATACCCACACTAAATGAGTTTGGCCAACCATACCCACCTGGAGTTACTCCATCAGTGGCAACCCCAAGTGTAGCCCCAGCAAGTACAGCCACTCCAGTTTCAGCATATTGGATGGCACCTCCTCCAGCTACAGCACTACAATGGACAACACCATCAATGAGTACCCCAACTGGAGTGACACCTGCTTGGTCAGCACCTCCAATGCATCGTCCAATGTATCCTCAAATGGTGCCCCAGATAACAACCCATTTAAGGCCTCCATTACCAGTTCCTATGGTTCGCCAGATGCCACCTCAAGTGGTTCAACCAGGAGTACCAATAAGACCAATATTTGACCAGTATGGTAGACCTTTGCCTCCACAATCTATGTCAAGACTTGACCTGTATGGAAGGCCAATACCAGATGAATTCCAGCCAACTGCAAGGTCAAGGTCAAAGTCATTTTCTCGATCAAGGTCAAGATCTTTCTCTAGATCTCGATCTTTCTCAAGATCCCGATCTTACTCAAGATCTCGATCTAGATCATTTTCAAGATCATTCCGTAGATCTAGATCTAAATCTTTTACACCCAGGAGACCATACACCCCTCCTACTTATTTGAGAGATGGCAGACCAATAAACAGGGACTCATCTCTCGATTCATTGGACTCTTTAGATCTACCTCCACCAAGCCCTGAGATTAGGAAAACTACTCGAGGAGACTCCTTTGATTCATTAGATTCTTTAGATTTGCCCCCACCAAGTCCAGAAATGAGAGAAATTCGTCACAGATGGTCCAGAAGCCCAAGAAGAAGACTATCTCAGAATAGAAGATCTTTAAGTCCAAGAAAGACCTCCCATAGAAGGCGCTCCCTTAGTCCTCTTAGAAAATCAAAAAGTCCTCTGCCTCAAAGACGATGGTCTCCAGCAAGAAGAAGGTCCATTAGCCCCAGGCGACATAACAGTCCTAGAAGAAGATCAAATACGGGGAGAAAATCACTTAGTCCAAGGAGAGGAAGGGGAGGGAGACGTAGATCTACAAGTCCAAGAAGATCAGATAAAAGACCAAGAAGTCCTAAGAGAGAAAGCAGAGGAAATCCTAGGTCCAGAAGTCCTAAGAGAGACGGATCAAAAGTGGGGAGTTCAAGAACAGGTAGATTAACAGAAAAGAGTAAACCAAGTCCTAAAAGAAATACATCTGATAAAAGTAGTTCAAATGCAGCTAAGACAAGAACTTCAACAGATAAATCTAAAACATCTGATGCAGCCAAAACTGGTGTCAAGAGAAATGATGACCAGGGTAATAAAAAGAATACTGCAGCTACAACTAAAAGTAAAGCTGATAAACCACCATCCCCTAACTCACCAACAAAGAAGGGTGGTACACTATCAAATGCTTCTAAATCAACAGTCAAGTTACAAACCAGACCAGTATCCAAGTCTGCAACACAAAGTGCAAATAGCGAAACTGTACCACCTTCCAAACCCCCTGAAAATACTGTTGTTCAAACAAGCTCTAGTACTCAACCTTCTGGAAAGCAGAATGCAAGTTCCACACAATCCAATGTCTTTAAAAACCCTCCCAATATAAGAAACAAGCCCGCTACAACAAAATCCATTGCCAGTGCTGGTGTAAACAAGCCTGCTGTAGGGATACCCATTAACTTAGTTAAGACAGAGTCAACTAAAACACCTGCTAGTAAAACATCTTCCACAGTAAATTATGAACCAGTCTCCGATCCTGACATCATTGAAATACCAATTCAAAGGAAAACTCCACCCCTCATCACTATGTCTGATAATGAGAAGACATTGGATCCAAACAAGAGTAACACTGATCCTAAGAAGAATAACCCAGTGGCTAGCCAATTAAAAGAAGTTCCAAAACAACCTAAATCAGCTTCTTCCAGAATGCTAAAAGGACCTCCATCAACAAGTGCTACGAAGAGAAGCACAGAGAAGACACAAGAGCCCCAGAGTGATAATGCTAATCATGATCTGAAAGACATTTTTAAAGATATTCCTGGTGTCCTAACAAGCTCATATAGTAAAAAACTAATGGAAGTGTATAATAAATACAAAAGTGCCATGAACACACTGTCAGTAGCCATGTTTGAGGTAATATACAAGAGAGAATATGTAGGGGAATTAGAGTTCAGATTTGCGGAACTAAAAAAGGTTGAAGGCCTTTTTGAGAAGTATGACAAATATATGAAAGACTTCAATACTCTTCCTCTCCCCAAGCTAGAAGAAAAGTATGATCAAAAGGTAGTTGATCAAATTGAAGAAGATGTGAAGATGCTGAAAAAGAATAAAGGTTTGGAAGAAGAGTTTGAGAAATATTATTTGGATCATAAAGCAAAGAAATCTGTTCATGAATTAAGAGAGAAATATAAAGCAGGCAAAGAGCTTGAGATGAAATTCAGGTGCTACAAGTTCAATGCGGAACTCATCGCAAAACATAGTCGCATGTTATATGACAAAGGAAAGATGCCAAAAGTTGACTTTGAAAAGTTGTATCCGACGGTGAAATCTAAAGTGATTGAGGCAAAATATAAGGAAGCTCAGAATGGTTTAAAGCTTGAAGCTGAGCATGAGAAGTTTAAAATGGACAAGATGACACTTCCAGCAGCAAAATTCCTAAGCAAGTTCAGCAGAGAGGATCAAAAAGAACTTGAAGAAAAATATAACAGTTATAGAAAAAAGATTCTGGATACCTACAAGTCTAAGTACTTGTATGACTGTATGCCAGGTTTTGAAAAGGTTACATCAGAGGCAGAAGAAGTCCAGAAAAGAAATGAGGCTAAAGGAGACAATGAAACTGCTAAAAAAGATGAAACAGGTCCTCTATTGGCTCCATTTAGTGTGACAGAAAGATACACATCAATAAGTGCAGACACATCTAAAAAATCAGCTATTGCACCATCATCAAGCACAAGATCTTCATCTGTACAATCACTTACTACTTCTACCGTGGTGTCTCAAAGTAACAGCAGCTCTATAAGTTCATTAACTAGCCAAACAAATGTACAGCTCCAAACTTCTCAGTCATCTTTTCAAAGAAAATCTGCAGCTTCAGATTTCTCATCAATGCCCAGCAGTCAACCAGCTGTAATCCAAGTTCCCCCGGTGCTATATAATGTTGTAGGCAAGCCAGTAGTTCAACCATTAATGAGTATCCAGCAGGTAACCCCTGTCACTCAGCAGATCCAACCATTAATGGGAAAACCTATACAGACTTTAATGAACAGACAGCGGCAAACTGTTACATCCTCTGCCCAGCTGCCTGCTGTAGTTGGGCAGCAAACTGCCAAAGGAGGCATCCGGCGTTTTGATCAGCCACCAGCTCCAATTATACCCTTGGGCAAAACAAAACCAACTGTTGAACATCAAACAAAAACAAAAATCATAACGCAGTATAAAATAGATGAGAAAGGAGATATGAAAATGGTTAATCCAAAAGGTAATACAGGCAGTGAAGTGTCAGGAAAGTCAGTTGAGAAACCTACTGGAGCTACCCCAAAGCCACAAACAGTGCCGAAGGAGCCATCAGTAGAAACATCACATGATACAAAGTCAAAGCCAATTGTGAAAACTAATGATGCTAAAAGTGTAATCAGTGGTTCTGCTTCAAAGCCAAACACAAATTTATTAAAATTAACGCAAGGTTCACCTAAAACTCCAACCTCTAATAAAAGAGATGCTGGAGCAAATGCATCCCAACCCAAAGCTGGCACACCCAATAAAGGAAGTAAGCCAGCTGAGAAACCTAAAGTGAATACAAGGCAGGATAAACCAACAGCCACAAGTACATCCTCATCCAAAGTTAAAAAAACGGTAGCCTCAAATACCAAATCGAATGCAGCCAGGTCATCTCCCAGACAAGAAGCAAATCGATCCACTAGGTCGAAGCAAACTCCTCAAAGGCTAAATGAAGATTCGAAACTTAAGCCACGTGTAAGTAGATTTGAATCGACACCTGAAGTGAAAAAATTAGACACAAGGAAGAGTCGTTTTGAACCTGATGTGGGAAATAAACCCGAACCACGTGTAAGTAGATTTGAATCGACACCTGAAGCGAAAAAACTAGATGCAAGGAAAAGTAGATTTGAACCTGATGTGGATAATAAAGCTAAACCACGTTCAAGTAGATTTGATACTGATGCTGGGAAACGTTTTGGATCACCAGGTGGGAAGCGACAAGGCATGTATGATTATGGGCCAGCAAATAAGCGTCCATTCATCAATGAACAGTCAGGAGCAGGCTCTAATATCGTGGCACCTTTGTATTCTAACAGGCCCCGTGATTATGATTTACCAAGAGATGTTGATTTACGTGCACAGGATGTTGATGATAGAGGTGGTCTTAAGAGCTATCTTGGACGTGGTGCTAAAGATCTGGATCCAAGACGACCCCAATACCAAGATGATACAAGTGACAGGCCTGAACGACATGAACAAGGTCTTGAGGTAGGACAATATCTTAAAAACTTGATATGCATTACATGTAGGCCTTATACATGTACAAGTATATATGATGGCATACTTAACTGCCCATCTGATAATGGCAATTGCATGAATCATATTTTTATATTATTTGCTGAAGTATCATGTCAAACTGTGAAAATACAATTTATATATTGGGCCTTTGAAATAATGCACAAAAAGCACATTAATTCAGTTAAGCAAACATTAAAAACAAGATTGTATCATTTACCTTATTACATACATATTTAAGTCTGGAACTGTACTTCACATAGTGACTAAACTATTCAGTCCAATGTACAGTTCCACGTAATATGCTCCAGTTTCCTGAATTGTCTCTCTGTGGTAGAATGTATTAACCTCATGTACTTTAAGCTCACCTGGGACGATGTCATACGACAAGTTGATCGTGGGTTTTTCAACCGTCAGCTGATCATGGATGTGTTGGAGAAACACAACCCAGTTATCAAGGCACAGCTTGAGAACTTTGATGATATCACATTGAAGGCAGCATTGAAGATGATACAAACTATGGATAGTCAATCCATAAACTCACTTGCAATGCCTGGACAACCTGGACCTCCTGATGATCATTTCAACAGACCAAATTTCAATAGAGGAGGACGCTTTTAACTGTTGTTCAGACACTTTATGATATTGTATATATTTGAACAAGAGATACATCATGTATATTATATTGTTAGACAGCTATATGGTGATAAGTATTAGCATATCCACTTTCACTGGTCCCTACCTGGTTATAAAGACAATGGTCGTTGCAATTTGGCATTGTGTATGTGCACAATAAAACTTGTAAAAATGTCAATTTTATACTATTTATACGACTTATAGATCACTGTTGGTTCAGACAAAACAATCTGATACCAGGAGAGATAAAGTTGCAAGCGGTCATGAGCTGTGAAAAGAATTATAAGATTGATGATGATTGGTTCAGCAAATGAGGTTGAGGTATATGTAGCCACAAAACTAACAATCATTAGTTCAAAAAGAAAATAACAAATTACTCATGCATTTATGACTTTGCCTCCGATATTCACATTTTAATTACTGATGGGTCAATCCGCCAAATCAAATAGCAGCTTAAATTTGCCCAGTCCGCCACATTTAAGCAATTTACAGTAACCAAATGTTACTATTAACATATTAGTAAAATATTTGGATACAAATCAAACTCTTTTGATGAAAATGTTGAAAATTAAAAAGCTGACAAATTTTGTCTTGTTGTAAAGACATGACTGTTTTTATAACCTTTAACCAGGTGGGTGCCAATGACTTTCATATTACATTGTAAAAAACTATAAACTTGATGTTGTATCAGAATAGGGGTTCTCATTTTCCAGAAACATGTAATACATGCATTGTTCAAATAGGCAGATATCACTTGGAATTGTGGATATTCTAGGTTGTATTTTACAGACTGTTGCAACAGGACTACCTCCATAGACAGGTGTAGCTATTTTTTCAGAATCATAAATATTTCCAGAATACTAGTAATTCATAAACATCTATTCTTATAATCTTTGGTCGTGCCAGTTTCAATATACATTTCTTTTACAAAATTCTCAAGGAGCAGTTGACAGAATTAGACTAAATTTTGTTGGTCGGTGCCATATGCATTTAGGATCTCTCATGTAGATATTTTTATGGTGCTTGAATTTAGCTGTCATTTTTTCTCTAACTTAGGACATCTTTACCAATCTGATCCATATTAGAAATGGTCAAAGAGGAAGTCTCGAAAATGACTTCCAAATCCAATGGAGTTATTTTTGTCAAACAATGTTTTGCAACAATTAAAACACTGTATCAGCAGTTTTGAATTTGTTTTTATTGAAAATGGTTGCCATAACCCAAATATTTTTTAATTTGCTTTTTGTATTTGGAGTGATAATGATTGCTGATGTAGAATGTCTACCTGACAGTGTCTGGTTTCAATTCAAATTGCCATATATTATAGCTATAATATATTATATATTATAGCTATAACTGCCTTGAGGAGTGCTTGATGGATTTCTCAATTCGCCAAATATCATGACAAAATATAAACAATTTAATATTGCTGTTACAGTGTTATAAAAATTATCTGACAATTATCTGCTAAAAGGTTTAGCCTATATACTTATTTTTATTATTGATTTTAACCAAGTTCTACTATCATTTTTTACCATGGAAAAGGTTATGATTTCCATTATTGCTCCTGTAGTCCAAAATTATAATCAGAGTATAGAGACTGACAAAAATGTGAGTAACATTACAATTTTCCAGACATTGCATCCTTCAATGAAAATAAATGTATAGTATGAAAAAATATTTTAAAATGGTAAAGTTATAGAAGAGTGTACAAAGGGCCATGTGCAGTATTGCAAGTGATTTCAGACTCATATCTTTCACCATGAGTACTTTCTTGCCATAAATACTGTGGTTTTTATTAAACAATATGTTTTTTTTCAAGTGAAGTCCCCATAATAATAAAAATATCAATCAAAGAATTCGAAAAATTATGAATAGGGACCCCATGTCAACATTTTTTCAAAATATTGAACCTATTTGCTTAAAAGAGGATCTTCTTTTTCTGATTTTTATTGCATAAAAATATATTTCAACAAGGGGTCTAATCTAAAACCTCTGGTTTGAAACTCTAGTTTTGACTGTTGAAGATATCAATTTTAATGACCAAAATTATGCTGAAAACAATGGATAGCATGAGTTTTCTCTATGGGAAATAGCATGGGATATATGGTTCTAACTTAAGTGCATTTCAAACTCCATCCCCTTTTCAGATTGTTAATATAGTGAAGAAACCTTTGATACGTTTGAATTGACAAAAACAAGATTCTCTTTTTAGAATATAAGCCGAACATTTTTAATAAAGTGCAAATTTTGGGTCCTAACTCCTAATCAATAATTTTTCAGACAGTTGGATTGATATTTCACTTGAAAGAAAACATATTGTTTTAATAAAAACCACTGTATTTAAGGCCAGAGAGTACTCATGTTGAAAAATATGACTAACTAAAATCACTTGCAATACTGCACATGATCCTTTGTATTGTAAATGAATGCACCAAGGTGAAAATAATAATTGAGGAAATCTACATACATTTTTGTTGAAAAATACTTTTGGATTTTTAGTAAATGCGAAGGAATGGTATTATAATCGGTCTCCTCTATGTTTGATACAATCGTTTAGATATAAGTGGAATCTTATTTTTCCTTAAAGTTATCATGTCAGTGACTTATGTTTTAGTTAGTAACAGTGCACATACTGTTGTTGTCTGTAGGTTTAATACTTGTTGGATATATATGCTTGTAAAACTGATTATAATCATGAAGCTTAATTGTATTAGTTCATAAAAAATATATATTTGAGTATTATAAATTATGTGATGTTACAATTATGTGCTAAACATGTTATAATAGCTTCACTTCTGTATCAACACATTCTCTCAACTTGCAAAGCTAGTGCAAACAATGTTCATACATACATGTACTATCAATTCAGAGTCCTAGACTAATACACCAGCAAGTTGTGTTCATATACACTAAAATGTCAGTTTATGCAACAATCAGATTTCAAAACAAAGAGCAATCATTCACAACAATTAATTGTAAATCACAATTATGCACCAACTGGAAGTCACAATCTGACAATCAACTTTCATCAAATTGACATGTAGACCTACTTGATAAATGAGTTTATCACAATACTACATATCACAGTATCAACAGATGCAAAACTTGAACACTGGGAAGGTAAGAAGTAAGTATCCTTTTTGAGCAGTAATCCTTCATTTAGAAATTATTGCACTTTACAATTTGAGCATACCTACAATGTTTTTAATGGTGCTTTTACCAGTGTGTAATCAAGATGGGTTTGAAAAGTCATTCAAGGATCAGAATAGATCCAATTCTTACAACTTCAAGATAGAATGATGCCCTGAGTACATCTACCTCAATGGAATAGTGATCACCTACAGACAAGAGCAGGTACAATGATCCCCTGAGTACATCTACCCTAATGGAATAGTGATCACCTACAGACCAGAGCAGATACAATGATGCCCTGAGTACATCTACCTCAATGGAATAGTGATCACCTACAGAGCAGATACAATGATGCCTTGAGTACATCTACCTCATTGGAATAGTGATCACAAACAGACCAGAGCAGATACACTGATGCCCTGAGTACATCTACCTCATTGGAATAGTGATCACCAACAGACCAGAGCAGATACAATGATGCCCTGAGTACATCTACCTCAATGGAATAGTGATCACCTAAAGACCAGAGCAGATACAATGATGCCCTGAGTACATCTACCTCAATGGAATAGTGATTACCTACAGAGCAGATACAATGATGCCCTGAGTACATCTACCCTAATGGAATAGTGATCACCAACAGACCAGAGCAGATACAATGATACCCTGAGTACATCTACCTCAATGGAATAGTGATCACCTACAGAGCAGATACAATGATGCCCTGAGTACATCTACCTCATTGGAATAGTGATCACCAACAGACCAGAGCAGATACAATGATGCCCTGAGTACATCTACCTCAATGGAATAGTGATCACCTAAAGACCAGAGCAGATACAATGATGCCCTGAGTACATCTACCTCAATGGAATAGTGATCACCTACAGAGCAGATACAATGATGCCCTGAGTACATCCACCTCAATGGAATAGTGATCACCTAAAGACCAGAGCAGATACAATGATGCCCTGAGTACATCTACCTCAATGGAATAGTGATCACCTACAGAGCAGATACAATGATGCCCTGAGTACATCTACCTCAATGGAATAGTGATCACCTACAGAGCAGATACAATGATGCCCTGAGTACATCTACCTCAATGGAATAGTGATCACCTAAAGACCAGAGCAGATACAATGATGCCCTGAGTACATCTACCTCAATGGAATAGTGATCACCTAAAGACCAGAGCAGATACAATGATCCCCTGAGTACATCTACCCTAATGGAATAGTGATCACCTACAGACCAGAGCAGATACAATGATGCCCTGAGTACATCTACCTCAATGGAATAGTGATCACCTACAGAGCAGATACAATGATGCCTTGAGTACATCTACCTCATTGGAATAGTGATCACAAACAGACCAGAGCAGATACAATGATGCCCTGAGTACATCTACCTCAATGGAATAGTGATCACCTAAAGACCAGAGCAGATACAATGATGCCCTGAGTACATCTACCTCAATGGAATAGTGATCACCTACAGAGCAGATACAATGATGCCCTGAGTACATCTACCTCATTGGAATAGTGATCACCAACAGACCAGAGCAGATACAATGATGCCCTGAGTACATCTACCTCAATGGAATAGTGATCACCTAAAGACCAGAGCAGATACAATGATGCCCTGAGTACATCTACCTCAATGGAATAGTGATCACCTACAGAGCAGATACAATGATGCCCTGAGTACATCCACCTCAATGGAATAGTGATCACCTAAAGACCAGAGCAGATACAATGATGCCCTGAGTACATCTACCTCAATGGAATAGTGATCACCTACAGAGCAGATACAATGATGCCCTGAGTACATCTACCTCAATGGAATAG